ATCACAGCCACAATGTCTTTGAACAATAAAGATCAAAATGAGGTTTTTCCAATTTCAATGTAAAATATATCAATCGGCCATCAAAATTATAGACTACTTTATTTTATTCATGAACAAATTAAAAAATCATTTTTTTTTCTTTGGTATATAATATTTTCTTTTTTATGATATTCAAACACTGACATTGTCACAAATTGTATTTTCAACAAGAAACGGTCCATTTAACACATTTCACGCTCTTTCAAGATCTCAGAAAAATAATGCAACAACAAACCGTGTTATTAAAATATTCTAAAGAAAATTCTTAAATTTAAAATTTTTTAGAGGTATATAAATTATTTTCTTTTTAAGCACCCTAAATTCGATCATTATGTATCTAATATAAGATAGGAATAATTTAATAAAATAATATTAAAAAACAAAGATAAGGCTATTAACAAAAGCTAAAGTCTCAGATATAACCACTCTATAAAGTTGTTAATGTGAATGACACTTAAGTATCCAATAGCAGGTATGTGCACTGCTTTCTTCCGTAAAAAAAATGCTTCAATGTAACACAATAATGCTATATTACGGAAGTTTTTATCTCAATAAATTTTTAGTGAAGCACTGTCATGATAATATAGGTTAAAGGTAACTACCACTAGTTATATTTACTTTTGATATAAAATCTGATTGGGTTATACAACTCTGTTGCTGTAAAAGTCTCGAAATACATTGAAAGTATATTTAAATATATTGCTTTTAGAATATCATAAATACAAATGAACATAAATATATATAATATAAAACAGAAACTTATTACTTACTACCAAAGGAGTCAAAAATCCAATTATTGGAATATTTTTGTACAACTTTTTACGTGCTTATTAAAAGCTCTCACATTTTAGATCACATGAGTCATCTCTGTGATCTTGATATTAATAAATTGTTTTAAAGTAGAAATAAAAAGACGTTATATTCTTGAACACAGATACAATACTATACTATACTAACGAGAAAAACTGTTCATTTTACAGAACTTTTCATACGTGTCACGTATTGTACCAGGCCGACAAATAATTCTTGCTCATATCACGGACTTTAAAGAATTGCAGAAATCATAATTAAATACGGACTTTATATTAACTTAAGCACTCTGATATTCTTTAACCTTACACAATCTTTTTCTGGATATTCCGTAAACGGGTAAACTTACCACCGAACTTTTTTTTCAAATTTATTTTGATACATCTTGACTCTCCATTTGTACCAACTCTCCATTTACTTACCCACGAATATTACAATTCGCTTCTAGGAGTGTAGTGTTTAATTGTCTTTATACAAAAGTAAACCTTCAACGCTTGAAATTGAAGTAATTTACATTATCAGTCCTAGCTTCGATAAATTTAGATAACCCACAGATTATACTTCGTGAACTTTCATGATTTCAGCAATACGTTTTTTACATTTCAATGGCTAAGATCTCAAGAGGTGGTTTCAATCGAATACATTGTGGATTTCACCTACTGAAAAATAAAGATTCAATACTTCAGGTATCTAAATTTAAGCTGAACTTTAATTTTTGGTAAAATTGACTCTTAGATTTTCTAGATATAGTATTGCAATGTATCTATTATAAATTGGGTTGAACCAAAAATATTTGGCGTTGCGTTTGCCTAACTTTAAATATAAATATAATAAACAAATATCTCTTAAATTATATAGTATTTTGAAAATTTATATAGTATGTTTATATATTCTATATTTTTATATATAGAAACAATGGTTATTCCAATTGTGGATAAATGAACTTAACAAAATACTATATAAATTAAAAACAATTTTTAATTTCTCTAATTAATAAATAGAAAATAATAACAGATTTTCAAGAATAGAATTAATGCAATCAATGATATATTTATATCAAAAGTGAATATTTTTAGTATTGATAATATCTGTAATAACTAAACTCTGCTAAGTTTTTAAGCATTAAATCAGTTGGATATTTGTTATTATAAATTCTGTTCATATGCTTGTATAAAAATATTTATTTGTATAAATTTAAATAAGCTTTTTTTATTTTTTTGTAGCAAAAAAAATCATTTGGTACTTTACTTTATAAGATTTAAGTAGAAGCCAACATAATTTGAATTTTTTATTGCTTCATAAAAAATCTTATCGCATATTCATGTGAACCTGTCTATTTCAGTTAAAGAGTGAGAATTTCAACTTTAATTTTTTGCACTAGGCGCGCACGAAACCAAAATTTATAATAAATGACGCCCACCTGAATTGAGATCCAACAGGCCCAACAAAGTATGGGGCTCTCTTGTTTTTTGCAATTCTCATGGTCACTCAGATTTCATTTGATTTCAAGTGTAAGAGACCAACGCGCTCTAAAATTAAACTGAGGGCCTAGCATACCTATATGCTAACATTATTTTATTATTTTAGGTACTAATAAGAATTTTCTTAATTTTAAATTGCACCTTCGGATTAATTAAAATTAATGTAATCTATTTTAAATTAAGTTAATTTAAAATTGAATCTAGAAAGGAGGGTTGAAATAATATACATAGATCTTTAAAAAACTGAATCTATGGATCTCACCTTTTAGATATTAAAATATACATTATTTTGTTTATCTTTTTTGTGTCTTAGCATGTTGCTCTATAATATATTTCTCAGATATATACAAATTATATTTAACAAAATTAATTACAAAAGTATTTGTTTAAGCAACATAATTGATTATTAATTATTTATTAACTATAAATTTAACAATATCGTTCTTTCTGCTAGGGATTGAAGTTCACCCTCGGTTCAGTTTTAAAGGACTTAATTTAGATTTGTGTTAGTAATGCTTACTAAGACTACCTAAGGTATTACCTGTCTCTTGAACAGAACTCTACAGCTGCGCCTATTTTGTAAAACATCAACTTGGTTTGTTTAAATTACATCATATTACGGTACGAGGCTATAAATCGCACATATAATGGCTTCAGTGCATTTTCACACCTAATAATAAAATAATCAGATTGATATTACTTCCTGTTCAATTTAGAAAACATATTTCAAATAAGTTATCTTTATATATATATATCTCTCAAACATTTGAGTTATCTTGATTGAATCCAAAGTTTTTCAATCTGTCGGTCACTCTCTACGTCACTCTCTGAGTTACCTTGATTGATTTCTAATTGGTATTATATATTTATATCTAATCTATCTTGGTATATTGTGAGTTCATTTTATCCCTCAAACATTCTCTACTTTTGGAGTTGCTTTCTGTCCGATGTTTGAAGACTGTCATGTGAGTTATCTTGATTGAATCCAAATTTATTCAATCTGTTAGTCACTCTCTACGTCACTCTCTGAGTTATCTTTATGGATTCCAAATTTTTATTATATATTTATATCTGATTTATCTTGGTATTTTGTGAGTTCATTTGGTTTCTGTCCGATGTTTGAAGACTGTCATATGAGTTATCTTGATTGATTCCAAATTTGTTCAATCTGTTAGTCACTCTCTACGTCACTCTCTGAGTTATCTTTATGGATTCCAAATTTTTATTATATATTTATATCTGATTTATCTTGGTATTTTGTGAGTTCATTTGGTTTCTGTCCGATGTTTGAAGACTGTCATATGAGTTATCTTGATTGATTCCAAATTTGTTCAATCTGTCAGTCACACTCTACTTTTATAATTCTTTTTTCTTCAATGAGATATTTTAGATACGTTTTTCTTTATATGTGGAATAGGACTTCTCTTTTTGATATTATTATATTATTTGTTACAGCAGTACTCCATCTGCAGTTTTTAAGAAATGCTTACTTTCTTGAAATGATTGTCAATAACTCGATGGAATGAGATATTTGTTGGGTATAATGGCAATTATATGGAACTCGTCTCTTATTTTAAATCATTTCTTAGGAAAATTTTATTAATTGATTAATCTTATTATTAATTGTGAATTTCAATTGTAAATCTAGAATATTGCTGAATAAAAATCTACTAATATATATCAATATATTCGTACTAAATAGTATTTCTCCAACATTTTGACATCGAATTTTCCTAAACATGCTAGACCATTGGAGAACGAAATTGTCGATTGTTTCTCTGAGAAAAGTATTGAAAATGATTTTATTTATAAAAACGATCCTCTAGGGGAAAATTCAAGGGCAGAAAAAAATCTCAAAATTTTCTAGTCGAAATTTGTCGATGGGCGATGCTTGGTTGCAAAAATACGCACAGTTTTCAGAATTCGAGAGTAGTCGCGTTGGTAGCGCGTTAAAAATATCGTAAAAAAAATTGTGTATTTGCAAAATCTTAATTTTATAAAATTAAAGAAAAATCAATATTTATTTAAATATACTAAAATTTTAAATAAAACCCATGCAAAAAAAATTGGCAAAATTTGCCAAAACTTGGAGGAATCAAGTGCGAAGAGTGTCTAACTACTGAAGGCACGAAGAATAAAAGTGTGTTAAAGTTTTTTAAAAGTAAAAATTTAAAAATAAATTTAAATTAAACACAGATAGTTAAATATACTATATAAATGTGCATATATATTTTATATAAAAATTTATTGTTATTATAAAATAAAAATGGAAAATAGCAGAAGTTCAAGTTCAAAATTTTCTGCGTGCAACTTGTCAAAATTTCATGGCTGAGTGGCATAAATTGTCAATTGTGTGCATGTATGTGTGTGTGTGCTGGTGTGTTGGTGTGTGTTGGTGTCCGCACTAGTTGGCATTTGTGTCTGGTGTTGAAAATGTCTAATTGATGTGTGTGCAAATTATAAATTAAAAATTAAAAATATAAATAAAAGAGCCAACTAAATAAAACGACATAGAAAAAAATTTAATTAATTTCTTATAAAAAATAAAATTTATTTTCTTAAAAAATTTTCTATCAAAAGAATTTTTATGTGTTTTATAAAAATCACAAATAAAATTTTAATTTTCAGAAAAATATTTTTTAGCTTGCAAACTAGTAAAGTGTAATAAAATAGAAATACATATTAATTAAAAAAAAATTAATAAATTAATAGCCAACAAACTGTAATAAAAACACACAAAATGTCTTCATCTTCGCCACGAAATTCATTGGCGAAGAAATCCTCAGCAGCGGCGACATCGACGACATCGACGACATCTCCGACATCTGCTGGGAACAAACAAGTCAGCAAATATCCAAAGACCAGAGAACGAATGGTTGATGGTAAATAGTATTTTTGTTTATTTTATATAAATTTGCACAAATGATTTATAGAATGTTTTCTATAGTGATATTGTGTTCAATATATTAATGAATTAATAAATTATATGCAAACCTCCTTAAGCCGATAATCCTGCCAACCAAAGTTTAGAAAGTTTTATTTCAATTCATGTTAGAACATTATGTTAGGAACATTTCTATTTTATTACAGACGTTTCTTCATATTACAAGAAAGAAATCTATATCCTGGAACTGCAGATCTACAATAGGTTAGATTAGGTTAAAAAGCCGCATATTGATACGAAAATCAACACGTATACTCTGAAACAACTAGTGCGCATTGCGATGCTTCTTAAGTTACGAATATTATTATAGACGGTATTTTAAGCGGTATTTTTTATCAAACCATTTAATTTTCTAAATAAAATTAAAGAGATCCGATAAGTCTACTTTTACCTCCTAAGCATTAGAACCGTATTTTTTGTTCTTCCTTAATTACACACAGAAAGCGATCATCTATGTTAATTAAAAACACCAAGAGGAAGTAATCTATATACCATATACCATTTGGTATATATACCATAGGTATATATATACCATATATACCATACCATAGTTTTATAGGTGAAGTTAAAGAGATCTTTTAAATACACTTTAAACTCCTAAACACTTAAACCGCTTGAAGAAAGTTATCTTCCACGATAGTAACGAATATCAACAACTACACCCATAAGCTCTCCACCGTTACTTAAAAAGATGAACCAATTAGGCTCATCCAAGAACAGCAAAGCAATACTAGTTACAACAACTAGAATAACGACAGCATTCGCGCCTACAAGTAACCGCAGTTAGAATTAGTTTTACACTCAAACTGAGACCCGAAACTCTCATCTTCTTCTATTCTAACCCCTACGGCAATGCTAATTGTGAAATACCGAATAAAAACTAAAACTTCTCTCTTCAGTGTCAATCTCCTGGGTAAAGACCTTTCATCATTTTCAAAGCGCTGGATTAGATCGCGCTTTATTAAGATTTATACATTAATATTAATAAATATATTAATAAATATTAATATATATTATTATATTTATAATATACAATTATTTAATATATTTATTAAGCTAATTTTTGAACCGCTGGATTGTCTGTACTTATAATATCTGTAAATGTTTAGTTAAATTAAAAAGTTCATGTGACTTTTAGAAAAAATTATAGAATTTATAGAAATATTTATCGAGTTTAAAATGTTTATTTATATTCCCAAATACAATAGACCTGACCTATGCATTCTATGAACCCTGAGTTTAAGTTAGAAGTATTTTTTCCCTGTTCTCTTTCAAACCATTTAGACAATAATAAGGTTTATTGCGAAATTATTGATCGGTCACTGTAGATTAAATAATCACCTATCGAAGTTGGGAATTTAATCCAACTCAAACTGCAGATTCTGTGGAAAAGAAAGAGAAACTGCATACCATAGGCGGGTATTTTATGGATCATAGTGATCTAAGACTGGGAAAGATAGGCTCTATATTGTCTCTCATTAAAGAAATCGGACTTGTAGAAACACACTAATCCGACTAAGGATTACAAGGAGCACAATAGATCTTTTAGACTATTAAATCCAACAGGCTCCTAGTTCATTGAGAAAAGTCAACCGTTTAACCGTCTATTAATTATCTACTCCAACAATGATTTTTTATTGATTTTTAATAGCTTTTTTTTAAATATTATTTTGATATTATAAATGTTAATACAATATATTGAATTTCAGTATTTTTTTTTATAGTTTAAATAATTTTATAAAATAAATGTTTTACTTTTCGTTTCCGGGTTAAATTTAAAACATTGAAAACTTTTAGTTCAGATGTTTCCGTTTCCTTGCCAGTCAAACGCTTAAATTAACTCAACGAAATCCCACTCTCCACAAAATGATACATGTACTCATCAAACAAAAAATAACAAAAAAATATATAAAAAATATAAACATAAATAAAAATAAATAAATTTAAAAATACACAAAATTAAAATTAAAATTAAATCTAAATTATTTGTGAATGAATCTTTTCTCTTGATTTTTTTGTGGTTTTCGCCTCATATTTGAGTGTGTGAAAACTACAATAAAAACAAACGAAATCACAACAAAAACAGAAATGACAGATATATAAATAAAATATAAATAAAAACACATGCTTTCTGTGCTTCTAATGTGCAAAGTTAATAATATTTTTGTATATTTTTGTATATATTTTTGTTTATAGACGAGTATCTTTTCGTACTCTTGGCTGCATGTGAGTTCAAAACGATTCGTCTTTGACTAGAAAAACGTTTCGATTTTCCTTGCTTATATGCACTTTAATAAATTTTACTTGACTTTGTCATTTATCGGCACAAAGTAAAAATTTACTATGACGATTTAATTAAAATAAATAAATCAAACAAAATATTATTTTAACCTTGTGAAAAACTTAATTTATTTTATATTGAAGTGTGACATTTTAAGGCAATTGAATTCCTAAAAATAAAAAAGCCTTTCAGATTTTAGAAATTTTTTTTATTTTTATAAAAATGAAAATGTCTTGAATTGAAATTTAACCAAAAATTAAAAATAATATTTGAAACTAATATACTAAACTGACTATATAAATAATAAACATTTTAATTCATTTCTTAGAATAATCTATTCTTTCAAGCAGCACCCTAACATAATTCCAATTTAACACTAGATATAATTTTATATAATTTGTGATATAAATAACTTCAAACAAAAGTCTTCACTAGATACTCGGATCCTAATTTTCTCCCATGAACTATTAAAAATGTAATCAATTTGATGATAATCAAATTTTTGACAACAAAAACAACAACTTTTTTTGAATGATGTTTTTTAAAATCTTTATTTTCTATTTTTAAATTCCTCTAAGGGCACTCCCCTAACCTGTCTTTAAATTCACTGAGTGGTTTACCGAAAATATTTCTTAAGAATCTGCTACATTCATTCACTATTTTTTAAAATAGTGATAGTCAAAATTATACTAATAATTTTAGTTTTTTTAACAAAATGTCTTGAAAGTTTATATCATTGGTTTACAAGTGCGGCTCACAAATATTTTACACTAAAATATTTTAAATCATATTTGGAAATTAAAATTATGATTTAAATTTAATTTTAATTAATAATAATATAATTACATTATTTATTAAGTTTAAAGAAAACTTAATTTGTCTTTATTTATATTATATTTTTATTTTACTATTATGTTAATTTATAGTATTATATATTATTATATTATATTTTATTGAAATTCCGAAAGTTCCTATAATGTCACATAGTTCGTATCTGGTCATAGATATTTTCGAAAATATCTATACAGAATGCAAAAAGCAGAGCAACCCAACTGTATATACTGCAAATCCATCGAGGACAATGTTGCACATACTTTCTTCAACTGCGAAAGATGACATGGAAAAAGAACACTACTTGCAGAATATGTAGGTCACTTCATAGTCAAGAATATTGTAAAAAAATGACAGAAATTTTCTGCTCGTCAGAAAATTGGAACAAAATCACACAGTTCATCGAAAATAAACAGAGGGAAAAGAAGAAAGATCTAGACACAAACTAATCTAAAACGAAGAGCAATCTGATGACATTCCAATTCTGATCAGGAGTGGAAGCCTGTAGACAGGTTTTACGAGAAGCATTTGGTCAACTTATAAGGGATCCTCCCTGAAGTAATGCGAAAGCGGAGAAATCCCAAAGTAGAGTAGGTGTTTTAGTTCGTATATTACAAAATAGGAGTCGGACACATTATTCCGGCGACGATTGGTTTTACGGTGCATAAAGCATTCCACCTCCTCACAACTAACTCACAAAACAAAAAAAATGTCTTTAATCTGTATTATTCTATCATTATAACTTATTACATACAATTTTATAATTAAATAGCTTTATTTAATACATATAATTGTAGAAAAAAAATTTCTACTTTGAAAAACATGAATCCAAACGAAAATCAGAGTAAATTGAAGAAAATACATCAAAGAAACTTCAATCATCGGTTAACCAAAGAAAATCAACCGGTTAATAATATTTCCAGTTACTTTACCTAACTCAATATTTTCCGGTTAAAACTTAGCTGAAACTGTGGCATTATTTTTCATAATAATTATTCATAATTTTTTGTAATTTAGTTTATATATTAAAGTCTATGGCAACCCTATGTATACTAAAGTCTAAGATATATTGAACTTAGAATAATATAGAATAATAGAATAATATAGATCGTCTTATACCCAGCAGAAACAATAAACGGTGAAATGTTTTTCAGTTAAATGTTTTGGTTAAAGTTAACCAGAGTTTAAAATAGCAATTACTTAGTAATGAACTAAACACATATTTAGCATACCGTTTTTTGATTTGACACAGAACGTAAAATATTCACATTCCTACATAGATTTTATTATTTAAGAAATAAAATTATTTAAATAAAATAATATAAATTCAGTTAATAATTTAATTAAATATTATTTTTACAGATGTTCCACTAGCACCCGTACATAAACTTACAATGGATGAAGTCTATGACTCAAAAACTGGTAAACCAAATTTTGATGCCTTGAGGCAACACTTTCAACTTGAAGGTAGAATAGAAGAGGAGCCAGCATTACGGATTATAAATGAAGGTGCCGCAATACTGAGGAGTGAAAAAAATATGATAGATGTCGAAGCACCAATCACAGTGTGTGGTGATATACATGGGCAATTTTTTGATTTAGTAAAATTATTTGAAGTTGGTGGACCACCTGCGACAACGCGTTATTTATTCTTGGGTGATTATGTCGATAGAGGTTATTTTAGCATAGAGGTTGGGAATGCCTAAAGTAAAGCAATCAGACAATTAATAACAAACATTTTTGAATATATCATTTTAGTGTGTTTTGTATTTATGGGCTTTAAAAATCTGTTATCCTACGACATTATCCTTATTAAGAGGTAATCACGAATGCCGACACTTAACAGAATATTTCACTTTTAAAACAGAATGTAAGAATGAAAGTTAAATTTTATATATAATATACGACATATGATATATGATATTATATATTACAGGTAAAATCAAATACTCTGAACGTGTGTATGATGCCTGTATGGAAGCTTTCGATTGTCTGCCCCTTGCTGCGCTGCTCAATCAGCAGTTCCTTTGCATACATGGTGGACTATCACCAGAAATTTTTACACTGGACGATATAAAGAAGGTATAGTAAAAATTAAGCAATTAATTAAATTAATTTATTATGTTTAGGACTCTTATGTGTAATGCAAATAATTACATAAAAAAATTATGGTAATTATTAATAAAATATAAATTATAAAATAGTAAAAATAGTAAAAATTTAAGTTTAGTATAAAAAAATTTGGATACGATACTGCAAGTTGTTAATTATTCTTTAATAAGTCCCTAGATGCTTTCAGGGTAAGGTTTTTCAAGTTGCAACTAACAACTTTGAAAAGTAAAGAAAAAAAATTGATAAACACATTACATAAAATTTGTTTAAATAATAATAATTAATAAATGTAATATTCTATTATTTACTATTATTATTAAGTCTTGCTTGGCTCCACATGATTCTAAGCTGCTTCTATACTGGGCATAGGCTATCTACAAATTGCCTCCATTTTTGCCTTCCTACTGCCACTTATATGAGCTTAACAATGTGGATGTATGATCTGCCAAGGTGTGTGGATTGCCTATTGATTACGTTTAGTGTTGATCTGTGCCAGGTAATCTTAGGCCTTCCTCTTCTTCTACTGCTTTCTACTTGACAGCTTTCGTAAGGTGTAACCAATCCAGCCAAAAATTTCTCTTGCATTCAATTTCCAATAAGTTTTTTGATTTAAACCGGGCTTAGGTCATTTATTTAATATATAGAATTATAAAAAATGTTTTTTTAAATAAAATATTAATTTGTGTTAAATATTTAAATTTATAAATTAAATTTATATTAATTAAATATAATAATTTAATTCAAAAATTATTGTGTTAAAATTATTTATCAAAAATTTTAATTATAAAATTGTATAGCTCGACAGATTCAGAGAACCACCAGCTTATGGACCAATGTGTGATCTACTATGGTCGGATCCATTAGAGGATTTTGGTAATGAAAAGAATTCCGATTACTTTACACACAACTCAGTTAGAGGTTGTTCATTTTTTTTTAGGTAAATATTTTCATATTTCTTAAGTAAATAAAATAATTTCCTTAGATAAAATAAAATAGAATTAAGTTTTATAAAGAGATATATTATATGTTTTAAAAAAATATTAATAAAAAGAAAAAGAACTTTTAATAAAATATTAATAATATAAAAAAAAAAAAAATAAAAAGAAAATAAAAAAATTTTATTAAATATTCTAACAGTTACAATGCATGCTGTGAGTTCCTGTCAAAAAATAATTTACTCTCCGTAGTCCGTGCCCATGAAGCTCAAGATGCTGGGTTTGTTAACTTTAATATTTTTAATTTAAAAACAACGTTTATATAAATGATTTCATATATTTTATAGCTATCGTATGTATCGTAAGAATCAAGCGACTGGGTTCCCTTCGTTAATAACAATTTTCTCGGCGCCCAATTATTTAGACGTATATAACAATAAGGTATTTAGTATTTTTATCGTTAATAATTTCTGAAAATTATTCGTGATTGTATTGCATATAACATTTTTATTAATTTATTTTTAAATTTCGTTATAATTAACACAAATGTCATTTGACAAAAGGCAGCTGTACTTAAATATGAGAATAACGTTATGAACATACGCCAATTTAATTGCTCCCCCCATCCCTATTGGTTGCCAAATTTTATGGATGTATTTACGTGGTCATTGCCATTCGTTGGCGAGAAGGTAAATCAAGCATGAAATACCAACGATTTATGCAGTTTTATTTTGAAATGATTTTTTTAAATTATTAAAATTGAAATTTTTCAAAATTATTATATATTATATATACAATATGTGAATATATCAGCTGATTTCTTTGTTTGATTTAGGTCACTGATATGCTCGTGAATATATTGAATATTTGCTCAGATGATGAACTTGTTTCGGGGCCAGACGATGAATTGGAAGAAGGTGAGCATTCATTTTATTAATAATATAATTTTTTAGATTTATATATTCGATTATTTGTAACCGATAAATTAGAAATAAAAGTTTAATAATTTCTTTTATAATTATTATTCAAATCCTTAAGATCTAATTTGTTAAGCTTATTTTTTAATACATGTCAATTAAAATTTTAATTAGAATTACAAACAGAACTAATTAATATGTTCTAATTTGAAAAATAGTTTATTGATTTCTATATCATATCAGAATAATAATCCTTTATCTACATAAATGATAGAGCCCTGAAATTATTTGCGAAAACTGACAGACTTATCAACACCGCGTTATCGAATCTCAGAATTGTTACAGGCTCCTCGGAGAGGTATGCAGATCTGAGGTCAATTATTGCTTAGTCTGATGAAGTGATAAATAATAATCCAGTCAAGGCGTAAAGAGGGGTCTTGAAGATACTTCGAGTTCATATAGAGTAAAAGTGCTCAAGTTTAATGACTCAAATAGCTTCAAGATAATTTGTCAATTTGTTCTTTAATTAGGTTTGGGAATTATTACGAAAATATAATAACTCTGTATGAGTTAAATTAAGTCGATCATTTTAACAAATTTTTATTACATTGAACTGTAATAGAAATTACATTGTAGACATTACATTGTAGAAACTGTAATATTATACATTATTCCCTCTCGAAGTTACGCCGACAATAATCTATTGAAGGTATAAGTAATTCGAAGATATGAATTTTAAGAATATGTAATCATTCGTTTCAATATCAGTAACATTTATCATATCATATTATTTATTTGGTTTTTTTGCTAATCCCAGTTTTTTTAATCAATCCTTAGGCACGTTAATTGATTTTTTTCACAATTAAAATAAAAATAAAAAAAAACAAAAATAAAAAGGAAATCCAATACTCTCATTGAAATATCAGTATTGTGAGAGATTTCCTCACAGATCACAACAGATTAGTAAAATATGCTAGGATACTAAATCTTCCTTTTTCCTGTTGCAATTGGAGTACTTGCCGAGCCTTAATATTTTATGGGCCTCCTTTTTTGAGGTTATGCTAATATAATACGGTTATACATTTAATAAATATAATTATAATTTGTATGAAATTAATATATTCATTTATATTAAAACATTTTGTAACACTAAGTTGTACTTATCTCATTTTAATATAACACAGAAATATCTAAAAATTCCTCTTCTATTGTTACTCTCAAATAAAAATATATGAACTTATGTTGAATTTTTATTTTTTTAATTTAAATGTATAAATGTAATTTTATTTTGCAAAAATCTCATGAATGAAAACAGTATACTCACACCTTAATCTTTTTAATTTAAAAAATAATTGAAATAGAGCATTTTTTTTATAGAGTTAAAACTGATATTTGCCTACCCTAACTTCATCGAAATTTTTTGTAAGATCTATAACCAGATCTTTATTATTTTTAACTTAAGTGGGATTCAAAGATTTAAAAACCATTCACACGTTTATATTGATTAATATTTTTCAATTTAATTTAAAGCAAAACAAGAGAAAGAATTGTATAACGATAAAACATTGAACGACCATTTCATAAATTTTCATTAAAATGTAAACACTTACTAATAAAAATCGTTTCCATTTACAGGAATTATTCAGCAAATTAAATGAGAATTATAAAAAACTATTCATAACAGTATTAAATATTATACATTTTAAGCATATTTTATGCTTACAAAAAATTCAATCATTTATGGTGAATGTTTATTGAAATTTAAGTCATTTTCAATACATGCATTATATAGCTTGAACAATATGAGTACGTATTCTCAAGAGGAACTTAGACCTACACTTGAAAAGCCTTTAAAAAAAAGGCCTTTTCAAAACCTTTAAAATTTTGAAATAATTTTAAATAATTTGAAAGTTTAAGGCACAGTGGACCAGCAGATTAATTAAATCCCTAATATCACTATGTTTACCTAAGCCTACTAGTAACTTATAAACAATAAGCACTTTTTAGTGACATTTTCTCAGGGTTCAGTTCAGTTTATATATCATAAGATATGTATATATTTATCGGTTACACGAAATACTTAATGAACAATTTTTATATTATATATTCGTTAATATTGTCTCAGATAACTGAATCAATGTTGTTTATTGAAACTATTGCTTTAAGTGTTGTACTATTTTAGAATACTCGTATACTGAATATCTAATATATATCTCCATTATTAAAAATATATCTTTTAAACACTAAATACACACATTTTTTTAAAAACATAATTTCTCTTTCTTAAAAATATATGTATGTATGTACAAAAATATATATATATTATATATAATATATTTGGTGTAACAAGAACTGCGCAAAAAAATTGTTCTTGTGCCATTGAACTCAAATAATGCACCGCCCAAACCAGGTAAGAACCAGTAAAAAATTTACTTAAATTAGTTAATGCTTTTAGGCCAAAGGCTTAGAATCAAAAGGCTTTGAATCAGAGAACTTAGTGCTTACTGCTAATGATAAATATAATTTTTCTGTGGTAAAATGCAAGTTTATATGCTAACTAAATAAATATATTTTTAAGTGTATAATTTTTCTATGTATATTTGTGTAAAGCTTAACATAGCATTTGAAAGCTTCACGCGACGTTTTTCAAGCATTAGCAAAAATGTAGAAAAGCTTGCAAAGCTTTTAACGTGCACACACCTGCGTTTGTATGTATGTACCCGTACTTTTTTAACTTAAGCTTTTTTTTGTATGTTGAAGTTCTGGTAATTATAGTAAGCAATTTGTTGTATATCTTTTTATAGCAACTGGAGTTTCCGCACTACGTAAGGAGGTCATAAAAAACAAGATACGCGCTATAGGAAAAATGTCTCGAGTCTTTTCAGTGTTAAGGTGAAGCATAATAATTTTAACATATCTAAATTTTTTTTTCAATACCCACAATATTACTTTTAGGGAAGAATCTGAGTGTGTCTTACAACTTAAAGGGCTTACACCCACAGGTGCCTTACCAGTTGGTGCCTTATCAGGTGGCAGAGATTCATTGCACAGCGGTATTTTTTATTTTGTTTTTAAAGTTTTAAACTTTTAATAAACAAAAATATCTCTCTTTAGCACTCCAAGGTCTCGGCGCTACTCCACAAATTTCATCATTTGCTGAAGCTAAAGGTTTGGATGCTGTTAATGAACGCATGCCTCCAAGACGGCCACTCACTCTTAACAACAATAACTCTAGCACAATAAACAATAACACCACATCGAAGACAAGTAATGGTGATAAGGTTGCCACCAAGAAAATCGTTAAGCCCGCCAGTGTAAATAGCACCTCTGTGCGTTCAAGCTACAGCAAAAAATACTCATAGTTTGTAATTCAAGTACTCGTACTTCAAATATTTTTATAACTCAAGTTTTGATAGTTTAATTCTATTATTATTGTTTTATATATAATTTAACCGCAAAGAACTTTCTGAGATTTATTTTTTTAAATAAATAAATAAATATTATTTTTTGAAAATTGTTCTCGTAGACACCGATAACTATTACCGCTTCCCTAGACACGTGCCTCAGTAGTTATTTGAGTTTTACGAAATACACAGAAAAAAGAAAGTTGTTACTTTTTTTACTAAAATAGGTTTTAACTATTTTTTTTTTGCTAAATCTGATTTTTTTATAATATTTATTTTCATTTAAAATTTGTTAAATCTTATGTTATAGACAAGTGTGTTGTTTATTTGAAGAGTTTTTATTTTTTAGTTTAATAAAATAAATATAAACAAAAAAGTATAATTTATTTATTTATGAATTATTGAAGTATCGTACTATATCTCTCTAGTTCCAGTGTACTCTAAAATACGCTTATTGTCCTGATATCAATAATAACAGTAATAATCTGTTTTGATTATATAGCTGCTATTTGAAGATGAACCTCATTAGTACGTTTTGTTTTCATTATAGTATAACATGAGGTAGAAAAGTAGAACCCATTTTAGAATAACAAAAAAATAAAGACAAGAGATAAAGCAAATAATATGTAAGTAGCATATGTCAAAACAAACCTGGAAAATATAGCAAACCGTATATTGGTAATCATTATTATCATTATTGGCTATATAATCTGATTTGGGTATTTTCTGGAACTACCAAACTACTCCTCCATTGTGCACAATATTTTGCTTGGGTTGCTTAGCATTGTATTATTTCAGTAGCGCAATCAACTTCAATTCATCGGAACCATAAACAGTATGTGTTTGGGTTGTATTTTCGTAGTTAATTATTGGAGAGAATACTGGTCCGAGGCGTTTGTTACGTTAAACACATTTGTGAATAACTTATAAAAATAATATAATTTAGTAAGATTATAAGTGGGGTTAATATTACAGTTAGTATAATACGGTCTAGAATACTCAAAGTAACTCACGCAGTTTCTTTATAACATTTGCCATTAAAATTGGCTCTAGTTCGCTAGATCACAATGGCTATGCGGTAGATACCCTATCACCTCACAAGACTAGCCACTATTTGCCGTTTTAATACCACAGTCCTCGCCAAGAACCCCTACAGATAAACTAAATTCATTTAATTCAGTTCATATAGTTGAACAGATTTTTTATATATTTTTTGTCAACAAAGTGCTTTCCTTAAAATATGTTTCTAGGCAATAACAAAAAAAGTAGGTGACTGTCTCTTCTTAGTCTAAAGTGCCGTAATTCACTCAATAAATTTGAAACGGAGTATGCAGTCTTTTTGTATGAATTCCAATATATCAGTGATTTGAAAGAACTGCAATTTGCCTAAGAATATGAATTGGCTCCTTGTTAATAAGTTCCCTGGACTTGATCGAACGGGATATTTTACATATTGTGCTAAACTTTTAACTATTCTGAGGTAGCTAGAGAAAGTAGATATTGGATGACAGATCTTCACGATCTCTAACGAAATTAATGTACCAATACGTGCTACACGGCCTGCTTTTTATTCTCTTCAATATTCCTGCCATCAGGAACACATATGAAAGTGATGTCCATGAGTTAATTTAGGTTGTCAACCTACATTTCCTTACTAGTTTGGATTTAATAGTAAATTATTGAAATGCCATAATTGTCGATTGACTGTTAATGAAAATTGACTTTACGTCTATTTCTGATGGTGTTTGCGATCACCCTACATGGCTCTATAATCACAAAAATTTCAGCCTAAAAGCTATATTTTTATAAGGAAGCCGAAAAGAGTAACTTTTACTCGCAAATATGGTGAAAATAGTCTTACACATTGATCTTGATGATAATAACGTTTAATAAAATGGTTCTAATGTAAGAAGATGGTTTTATTATAAAACATAACACATGCAAATCAATAGTAGTTTTTATGCCTAAATAATAATTTTTTCTTATGAGTGTATCTCAGTAGAAACACAAAAATACAAAATTGTTGCAATTATTTGTTATAATCTTTCAATAGGTGGTTTAGGATCCGAGACTTACAATCTTTTACTAGGTGTTTTAGAATCCAAGATTTCCTTGGAATAACACAATCAAGAGTAACAGATTAATACGTTTTTATCTTCTTCACATTTATAACAATATGGTAGATACTGCATTTTTCTACTAATGTTTCATACAATGCTCCTTCAAGTTCATAGTTTGTATCTTGTGTAGTTATAGTACCTTTTGGCCGATTTGTACTTCTTAGGACTTCGTTCACATCTCAATTAATACTTAGTGATACAATCTATTAGTACAGCTATCTGTCCACAACATTTTATGGTTGCATCATCTTTTTTAGTAGATGTATGAGAGAAACTGTTTCCTATTTCTTTTTTGGTGTTAGTCCTCAAACAATGGTCTTGGAATAATTAATCTAAAGCCTGCCTCCATTTTATCTTAATCTTCACTGCTAGCCTAGCAATAACCTATATGAAGTCTCAGATCTACTCTACCACATTAGTGCTTAACCACAAATGATTTAAAAGTGAATTGACGTATTTGAGCGAGGTCCGAAAAGGAAGCATTTTCAATCTGTGACTTAGGACTTCCAGTTTCTGTTAGCCATTTTTTCCTTTAAATATAATTATTTCATTATATTTTCTCATACAAAAAAAAATATTTCAATAAAATTTACTCACATTTCTACAAGTTGCTTCTCATTGCCTTCCATTTGACCTTTAACAGTACCATGTGAAGTATTCATAACCCAGCCACGAATTCCCAAACCCTTAGCGAAGTTTTCAGTATACTAAGAGGCAGTTCAAATTAAATTAAAAGAAATATTAATAATAATATATAATAATAAATAATAATAATAATAAAAATATTAATAATATTAAAAATAATATATAATATATAATTGGTGCTACAATGACATAAAATTAACAATCCTATCAAACATAAACTACCATATAAGGAAATTGTTTTGTGGCAACTGATCTATGATTTTACTACGCAGAAATAGTATATGAAGGTATAAGATATATATCATCTATTGATTAGACATGGTATTTAAGTCTACTTTAAATTGCCAATTTAAAAGTGACAACTCTCCGCTTTACTCGCGTCTTATATAGTTTAATGTTAATGAAGGCTTATTTTGATCAATCATTACATTTTAAATGATCTGATATGTGATTTCTGTCTTGAACTATCTGTAGTGCATAATGATAGTAAAAATCTGCGATCAGTTAGTATTGACTTTTAGAGGCCCCCTTTCTAACTGATATGATGAAGCTGTTATTCTTTAAAATTAGAGACATAGTGAACTACAGAAAAATTCTTGTCAGATTGGATGTTTTCTTCTTGATGGAGTGTGTATTCTTGATTTAAAGAGCTTTTGGAGCTACATTTGATCCATACTACGCTAAACAACATTAAACGCCTGGAATACAGATTCTTAACTAAGTTTAAAACCTATGGAAACCTATGAGCAAAACACAAATATTATCTACAGAACAATAATCATAGTTAATACTGACGGCAAGGAACAAAGTTCGGACTGAACATTTACAATACAAGAATTTTGATGGTGAAGCCTGAACTGTCGTCTTCGGTCCTATATACATCATATATTATAATCAAATTGTTTATTATATTATTACAATCAAGTATTTTATAAAATAGTTAAAGGCACTTACCTTACGAAAGTAAACGCCTGAAAAAATAAAAACTTTAGAAATCACATTAACATATATGAAGAGGTTGAACTCACCTTGAACCTTACCGGAAATTTCGAAAGTTGCTGTGAACAACTTTTTCAAGTTTTGTGCACTCATTTTTGCAAACTGTGATTAATTTTGAATGAAAGTACACAAAAACTCTGTGAAAATGACTAAAATTTTGAGTATCTTAAATCCGTAACTCTAATCATATAAATAATTTTTATTTTTTATTTGGAATATCATATTTTTATTTAGATCCAAACAATGTTTACTAAGATAATTACTAGAATCATATCGTACTCGTATACTTTTTCAATAAGAAATCTTACAGAAAAAAAATTATATACAGGTTTAGGCGACTGAAGTATTAGCTATTCGAGCGACTATATCTTTTTGTGTGAAATTATTTTTTATTAATTAAAATTACAAAAAATTGTGGAAATAATCAAAATTTTAAGAATCCATTCACTCTAATTCGATGTGGCTATATTTTACCCTGACTATAGCCTTCAAACAGTTAAAAAATAAGTTGAGTGAGTGATCTTCCGGTATTTTGGCCCATTCCTGAACAATAGCTTTCTACAGCGCATCCATCCAAGTATATTTTTTAGTCCTTATATTGCTCTTCATTGTCCATCGGATTTGCATCTGGCGAATTTTAAACCTATTGTGTGGATGAACTGAAGTGTGGAACATAATTTCTTAATCATTCTTTATTAATTCTTGAGAGATAAAGCTTGTGCTTTATGAGACGATGCCGAGTCTTGTTGAAACGTCCATGGTCTACGACCTAAATGTTTGCAAGCCCACGACTTTAAAGCTATTTCCAAGATACTGACCCAATAATAACTTGCGTTAACTATCTCTGTATATAAAAATACGTAAAAATATAAAATTAGATATAAATACATATATTATAATTTGTATAAAATACATTTTATATATATTAGAATTTATATAAAATTATATAAAAAAATAATTATGTAAAATAAAAACACTGTGAACTAAACAAATAGGCCGAAGTATGTCATAGTGGTGTCTCATAACGCGTAAAACCATATGAAGCCAGTACATATAGATATGTCTAATATATCATTATCACTATTAAATGTTTATATATATATGTATATAATACATACCAGTTATATGTATTGGGCTCTACTTTTGAACTATATTGAAAATGTTGCTCAGTAGAGGCGCCTTGACTTAAATCGTTGTCAAATCGGGCGGTACAAAAACAGAAATATTGCAATGGGGAAGAATGAAGTTGATATTCTTCATTTTCTGGAACCATATCTTCCATCAGCTAAAAAAATCTTTTTGTTTATGGCATTTTAATATAAATTTCCATACATTATATACTTTATATAGTTTGTGTTCGTATATCTTAAATTCTTAAATAATTAATTATTTTATATATGTTTTATATATTTTTTTAATGCTACAAGTAAACAGAAACTATAGCTAACATAGTCGTAAAAAACAACTAATTAACTCTAATTATGAAATAAGCAAAGATGTCAAACATCTACTATTTTCTATTATTATCACACACAATAATATTGATGAAAATATTTAATTTTATATTAGATAAAATAAAATTGAAGTTCTGAAATGCATTTTCCAATTCCATAAATATGTTCCAGCTTCATAGCCTCACCGGAAACTGATTTTCTTATGCAAGTTGACGTTGACGCTTGTATTAATAAAATGCACTTGGTGATAGCAGTTGTTTAAACAATAACTTAGACAATACTTAATATATTTTATTTAATTAACAACTTTTTATAATTTATGTAGTTCAGTAACAGAATTCACGTTTCCAAATGAACTTGAGAAACTTAACCTATAAAAAGTATGTGAAAAGCTTCTCAGTGGGAAATAAATTTTATATATTTTAAATAAATTATAAATAATAAATTATTTATTAATCTTGAAAGTTTATATTACTCATTACTGAATTCTCTACATATTAAACTGTTAAATAAAAACAAAGGTTTTTCGGTTACATTTCAGTGATTTTCATTAAAATAAAATTATATTGAAAGCAAATCACTTGAATTATTAATTTGCTGGTTCAATAATTCTAATATATATCAAGTTATCAAGTTTTTGTGATGAGAAAAAGTAATTCAATGTATTTACAGTACTGAATTAATTTTTTATTTAATATTTATTATTATTTTGATAATATATTTAAATTCATAATAATTAAGAAAATTCTGAATAACCTCAAAACCATCAACTTATTAGGCGACAATTCTAAAGATAACTCTAATTTGGGTTCCTCGTAATACGAATATGTTAAAAAACACATGACATACAGACTCCAAATCTAAAACATGATTTAATCCTCAAAATCAATATAGAAGTTTCTACAATAATATTGATTCATGATTTAATCCTCAAAATCAATATAGTAGTTTCTACAATAATAGTCCACTGAATATTGGACTATAGAACGATATGAAGACACTTCTGGTTCACCCCACCGAAACTCCTAAAAAACTCATAAACAATTTATGAAGATCACTTTTCCGATTTAGTATTCAAACCTAGTTACTGTTAAGAGTGACATAACCTACAAGCTCAAAAACTTCTGATTTAGTCCCTAGACACAAGATAGAGGTATATTAAGTAATATCAGTTCTCACTGGCCACCGGACTAGAGAATAATATAGAAACAGTCTGGGGCTACTCTATCAAAGACTTTAAAAATCGTGTTCCCATGTCAAGATCACTTTTTGCAATTAAGAATGGAAGAGAGAATAAAGTTAAAAACACTAACGACTTCATACACCATATCTAGTCTTTCTGATTTATTTCACAAGATTATATAAGAAAAGTACAATAGAGTCAAGTCTAAGGGGACCCTAGTTTATAAAAAAACGTGATCACAATCTGTTTCAGCCCAATTGAAATTCCTGTAGATCACTTTCAGTATTTCTCGAGGAAAAAAAAGCCCGAAAAACTAATTATCCTGGCTGCGTCAACTTCTTTCCTTAAAGAAGTATTCCCGACCAATTTTCGAAAATAATAAGGTATGTTTTTATTCATTTGAAAAAGTTTTGATCTCAACTTTATTAACCCAAATACTTGAATAATAATACTACATTATTATAAAATATAGGCTTGTTTCATGACATTTTACCTACTTTCATATCTCAAGAAATGTTCATTAAAAATTTTAAATTTGGATTTTATTTTTATATCGTCTACTTTACATATATTTACAAAGAGCAAAAGATGAACTCTATCAAACAACAATATTTTAAAAACAAATTATAACAAGTTTGAACTGATTTATTTCACACCCTGAGAAACAAATTTTCCATTATTGAAAGTAATTTGCGTCACATTGATTTGCTAAATTAATATAAATGACAAATTTTTAAAAAATTCGCTTAACACACGTTTGTTACATAAAAATTTCTATAATAATTATTTAATTTATAGAATATAATAAATAATAATAAGGTATGATTTTACAACAGAGGGAAATATATTGAATGGGGTCGATCTATTCTGTTAGCAACCAACAATAGCAGAACTGAAAGCGTTCAACCCACCCAGGAGGTCATTACTCAAATTGTGACCTCGCTTAACAGAACAGAGCCACCATACAACATTACCTATGCTTTTGTTCTATACTCTCAAGACTCAGACTTATAGTACTCAAATCCGACGTAGTAAGTAGCTCAAATATTCGTTTCTTACCTCTTGGATATGTTCTCCGCTTTCTTGAAAGGAGCCAACAATTTCTGTAATTTATCGGGATGATATCCACAACGATGATGATAATAATAAGTACCTCAAATTAACGTTTCTTACTTCTTGGATACATTCTCCGCTTTCTTGAAAGGGATGATATCCACAACGATGATAATGATAGTAAGTAGCGCAAATATCAGTTTCTTGCCTCTTGGAAATATTCTTCGATTTCTTGAAAGGAGTCAAAAATTTTTATAATTTATCGAGATTATAACCACAACGACGATATTCATTATGAAGGATCCAATAACTACTCATTGTAAATCTTCACGGTCTGCGACAATATATTTCTTTACACATTTCATTCCCAAGAAGTGGTTTTAGTGGTCTCACAAGATAGTTTACAATGGTTTTTAACTACTGATTGAAAACCTTTTTATAATATAAATTGTTAAGAAAAAAATATTTAACATTCTTAACAAATTTGGTAGTTGATAAGTAGATATAGAGCAAAATATAATATTAATAACAAGTTCGTTAATTGTTGTTTATATAAAGAACAACAATATATGAAACTTAATAACTAGATGTAACTGTTAGAAGAATATACGATCTCCCATATGACAATATTATTTTGTAAAAAATTTGTAAAATTGTATTAACGGTTTTTGAACTTCGTCAAAACCAAGGTTAACTGCTTCTCTAAATAGTTTTTACTCTACGATTGTTAATACATGGGTATAAAGTTTTAACTGTTTTTAATAAAAAATATTTTACACCAGTTTTCAATTTTTAAACACTTAAATTTAATAACTAGTTATTAATAATATTTTTAAAATAATTTGACTATCTAAAATTTATTTATATAAGTTTTAAATTATTTTAATTAATTATATGTTAATAAATTTATATAACAATGGGTGCCCTCTAACATTATCTTATATTGCAAATCGGAATAGTTAATTAAATAAATTTTTCTTAATAATGGAAATTTTCTATAAATTATAATTTATGCGGATTCAATCTTACTGACTTTATCTTAAAATATTTAATAAATAATCACGTAAAAATGTAGGTACTTTTTTAAACTATTTTAAATGTTAATATATGTTAGGAACTGAGTAAAATTTTTATTATAAACTTTTTATATTCATTTTTAGCTTCTATACTTACTCACGTGTAATATAAAATTTAATTTAAAACTAATTAATTGAAAATATTTAAAAACGCAATAGTTGATATAAGAGTAATTTTTTAATTAAGAACATTCACTTTTCTTATATAAAATAATGCCAACTGTTTTTCACAACAAAATATTTACTACTCTAATAATAATATTTTCTAATTACCTAACAAAATAAAATACTTTTGAGAAATATCTAAAATATGAATTTTTTTTGTTTTTAGTTAAGTGTTTTAAGAGATTTATTCGAACAGTAGTGAACTACAACAACAAAAATTCATATTATATTATTTTAATTAATTGAATTTTTGGCTGATCCCACAGCTGTTTCGAATATTACCAAATACCCATCATCAGTGGTCTTGGAAATAATTTTTGTATTTAATTATTCGTAAATAATTATTTTTGAGACTACAAGTACCAGAAATCGAACTCGGGTCCTGCCAAATTTGAAGCTCAGAATCAGCGCATCTTAACCAACTGACCCAAAGCCGTACTTGAGTTTTTATGTTCGTTAATTTTTCTGGAGTTTTGTTATTTTACTATGAAAGTTTTATTAAATTAATTGTTTTATATATATTTATATATATATTTATATATATTTATATTTATATTTATTTATATTTATATATATTTATATTTGTTTTATTAACAAATTTACTTGCTGTGTTTGTATTAGAACAAAATGTTCTAATGTTTTAATTAACTTCTTTTTATTTATTTGACATAATAATTGATTATTTTGGACTGATCATATAGAAGAATTGGAGCAAATATAAAACGTGATATAAGGGAAGGCAGTTAAGATCTCTAACTGTTACAGACACTTTTCAAGAATTTGCTCATATCCCTTATTAGCGATTCTTAATTTGATTTGTTAGTTAAAAATCAAGTTTTCGGGTATTATTTTCAAGGTATTTAGAACTTACGAATATACTTTCAATATATTTAAAAGATATATATGCAGTTAAATGTGGCAATTAAAAAAGTGTAAAGATTGAAATAATAAATATTATATAATATCGTTTTTCGTCTCATATCTTGTATGAGTTTTATCTATATCTTATATAATATCTACTTTATAAAAAAAAATACTTCCTTACATATAATGATAATCTCTTTATACACCTTTTAAGTGATTACCTCATTTGTATACATAATTATTGAAATACTAATATAATTAAAATTTATTATCAGTAAATTTTATATGTACATATATTTAAATCTCACCAAACAGTATTCTTATAACATGTGTCTTCACACCTGATAATCACATGATAAACACGTTTACAGTCAGCAGACCCCAATAATGAAATCAACATGCAATAATGTTTTCACGCAGATGACATAAATTTCGGAAAGATACAGATACGTTTGCATTGTATATATAATTTTCTCAGAATTCTTTACAAAATTCACGTTTTCATAATTGTCATAAATTATCAACAACTTTTATGATGAAAATTACTTTCATTAAAATTTTTATTTATAGTAGATCATTTTTTACAGTGCATTTTAATTATCATTTGCAAAGCAATTACTAGCAGCTCCGCAAAAAGATAAAAACTACACGTTCTGTGTAGAAATTTATATATTATTTGTCATAGAAAATTTAAATTATTTTAAAAATATCTAAAGAATTTATAAAAATCACAATAACAAATATAACATTCTAAATAAAAGTCTTAAATTTCTTATATACTTTAATATATTATATGCTTTTAAATCGTTTACAAAGCAAAATCACGGAGAGAAGTAAAAAATTTTTACGTATATATTTTTATATATACGTAATATATATATAATATATATATAAAATATATATATTTATATTTATATATAATATATATATATATATATATATATATTTTTATATATTTTTTTGATATACTTTTAAATCGTTTTAAAAGCAAAATTATATACCTCAGCTTGAATACAGTAAATTAATAAACAAACAACTCTTATAAGTTAATAAGTTAATATACTCTTCCACAGCTTGATTAAAGTTAGCTAACTAACTATTACTATGGAATCGAATCTTAGCTTAACAGTTTGCTTGAAAATAACTCAAATAGTTCACTAAACTCATTCGCAAATCATAACCCATCGAAAAGTCAATAAGTGATGGGCAGACACAAGTCATTAGCAAAGCTAATGAATTCGCTTTCTTCATCTAGATTAAGTCATAAAAATTAAAAATACAGTGCTATATGCTTATAATTAAAATAAACGATTAACTATAAATTTAAAAATTTTATAATGTTCCAGTTTTTTAAAAATTTAAGACTAAAAGAGCGACTCAAAAAATAATGTTTACAATCAAACCAGTGGCGTATACAAGGGGGATTTTTTGGAATATCAAACCATCCAACCATATATTGGAATGTTTTATTAATTTAGTTTTGTAATGAAAATATAATTGTTTAACTTTCGTGATGATTTATTTTTCGCAGTAATCTCAGTCGTTCCATTCGTAATAACTTTGCCCGGCTTTCGAAACGCTCTCTTCAAGAATGCCAAAAAATCTGATATTTCGATTGAAAAAGATTGATAAATAAATATTTCCTAATTGAAAAAATTTACTCTTCTAACTTGATCTAGAATATTCTTGAACTCCTCCAGCAGATTCTGATTAAAGACACTACCCTAGATAAAATTAATTTTTTTATATCAATTAAATATTTCCATATAAACTTTGACTCAATTATCGAAAAAAAAACCCCTTAATAGCCGTCTGTATACGGCACTGATTCAAATTATAATATCTTTTGTGCCTAGAAGTCGTAGAGTTAGCAAACGTGTTGAACTTTTATGCTGAAAGTTCATTCAAGAATTTAGTATAAATATTTTTTCGGATTGCACGTGCTGTGACTACTAATAGTAACCTTCAATGAACATGTACTCTTTGCTTAACCTTAAAGAAGTGCTTTTCTAAAAAATTTTTACCTCTGAAAAGCTTTCTCTATCACAATAGCAATACATATAGTATTGCTATAAGTTAATATAAATTAATTACTGCTATTATTAGTTTATCGAAAAAGCGATGTACCCAAGTAACTCAAGTAATATATTGTGATAACCCGAGGGAACTTAAATGTTCCTTAGATTCGAAAGCATTTACCAAAGAGATTATAAAAAGATCACAAACTATGAAGGAATGCTATAGCTAAAAACTTTTCGATACGTTATTATACAAAACGAAATATATATTCTTAAATATATTTCTTAAATACAACAAATAAAAAAATTAAAAATAATAATAAATATTTTATAATTTTAATTAGAAATCCTAAATATATTTCGGTCCGTTATATTTTCTTGAAAAATGACTCTACATAGGACATGTGTTAAAACTTAATAATATACCTGTATATAGTTGGTAAATCAAACTAGGATATTAAAATTAAACCATTGAAACTTTTAAAACAATGAATTAAAAAGGGTTTTATTATTAAACTCTTTTTTAGAGTTTAAGGGTTTAAGGGTTTAAGGGTTTTGGCACAGAAATATACCGACTTATTAAAATAATAACATAATAAATTTTAAATAGATTCGCCCATTGAAAAAAAAATCATCCATGATCATACATTAAATTTAGACATGAGCATATATATACCAATACACCGAACGCCTCAGCCACCTTGATAATAGCATAAAAATCCGTAAAATTATTTTAGTGGACTTTAAAAGCGGAAATAGAAGTGGAAGTGGGAGAATCACAATAATATTGCAAGAGACTGCTGACCTTCAAATGTTACAAGGTATGCGAGAAATGTTCCACTAAAATGCTGCTTTCACATTAAGATTAAGAGCGAATAGAACGATGAAAACTTGAAATCCACGGTAATATCTTCAGACACCCAAAAAATACGGTCTATTTAAGTTTATCACTGATAAAAAAATTGAAAAATGATGTGGCGCTGGTAGACCAAGTGGTTTTATAAAAGAGAATCGCTTTCTTAGAAGCTGTGTACTAAATTAAAATATATATAATGTTAGCTAACGTTTTAAGTGGACAAGAAGAAGAAGTAAACCATACACATTTTCCATATAAGTCTACATCTAAGATTAACGCAAACATTATTCTTAATTATTATTATAAACTAATTAAAAAAACTCAAATATTTCCTAAGATTACTGATGATGAGTACTTGGCAATATTCAAAACAGCGTTCTGTGTTCAGCCACATATCAATAAATTAACTAGAAAAATTTGTTGTTGTCTTTTCATTACTATTCAAACCTTTCTTACTTTTTAATAGTTTCTTTTCGTCATAAGACACGTCACTTTCCACAAAAAAATTAACATTATTCTTAATATTTACTTCTAAATGTTTTTAGATACTAGCAATTTTTAATATGTTTATTACATATATAAAATTATGATTATATATTTTTTATTATATACACATTTACATTGATAAATTCATATATGAAATTATAATTATTAAACTAAAGCATTTTTTATGCAATAGAATTTAATTATATATTTTTATTAAAAATATATATACATTCATTCCCAACGATTGTAATTTTATCTTAAATATACCATAAATATAATTTTTTTATGGCGTGTTAAATGAATTTGTTCCACTGTGCCACCCCCAAATAACTTTTATTTAAAATAGTTTGCATTTCTCCGTCCTGTTGAACAAATAAACAAAAGTAAAATTTTAATTGTTTTTTTTCATATTTCACTTAATATATTATTTATTGCTGTCATCTTTGTTGCCTTCGTTATTGTTGTAGCTTCTTGTGTTGTTGTTATTTTTATTATATTTTCAAATCTTTACAATTTTTATTGCAAATTGCTTTACGACGAAGGTTGATGTATTTTCGCTGGTTAAGCTTAGATTCGTGTCAGTATCGTACGAAGTCGCCCCACTCGATTAATAAAACCGTAAAGCACGTTATAGCACAGGTTGTAGTCGTTTTGTATCTGTCAGATACATCACACGTTGTGATCTCGGTTTTCGCAAGGCGTCAAGTTCTCAAGTCTTTCGCCTATCGCCTATCGCTCGCTTAAGTATTATAATTTTAGAGCACTACTTTCAGACTAAATCGAGTTTATTTTTACATGTCCCATTGTTAAGCATTTAACGGGCAAATGCAGTGAATGTGAAATATTGCAAGTGTTACACAATAAACTGTGATATATACTTTATCTTAATTAGAAGCTCGTTCTCAAGTGAATAACTTATAAGAATGCTCCAAGCAATTCAAAAAATGTTGCGCAAGAATTTTCTTTACATATTTCTAGTGCTTTTTTTAACTGAAAAAATCCTGGCAACGACCATCTCGCCGTCAATACAGGATTTTAAAATTTTTAATAAAAGTGAAATTGGTCTCGAATTTGTGCCTCTGGATGTGCCCTCAATGGTACCAATTGAGTTATCCACGACAACGACAACAACAAAGACTCTGACTCCATCATCTGAGAAACCAATCAATGAGAATAAAGAAACAAAACCTCCAACAAAAGAAGGTGTGTATAAAGTGTTCCATAATGTCTGTGAAGAACTAATAACTGAATATACTATATTATAGTGAAAACATTGTCATAAAATAATATCTAAAAATATTGTTAATATTTAATATCTAAAAATTCTAAATATTTAAATGTTACTCTTTTAAATCGGGAGTTGAGGTATATATTGTATGAGAATTAAATGATGAAAATGATGAAAATGAGATCTCTTCAATCTCCGTTTATTAGTGATAGTGTTTGCTTGATATTGTAACCCGATCATAGTGTCTTACTAGAATTACTAGTTACCAGACTTTTGCATCTACAAACTGCTACTAGAAAGTATTTGGTATTAATAGGTCATTTAACTGCATAAAGTGGTGTGAGCACTGGTTCTCCAAGAATTTCTTGTCTGGCTGATCTTTTGCCCTGAAGATGGGATAGCAATAAGTCCAACCAAAATTTATAGTTAGGATAAGCTTCAGTAAGGTAAATCCTCTACTGGTGTACTGATAAAATTTAATGAAACTTAGATGAATAGAAATGATTAGCTTTGGAATTTATTACCCAGATCTTCATGAGAGAAAGAAATAGTTATTTTTTTTTAAGTTGTACATTTCTTGATTTCTATATTTTTATAAATGAATAAACTTTTTATTTTTGGAAGTACTATTTACTTTAGAAGAAAGTGAGTATATTAATGCACAAATAATAATTGATCAAATTTTTGACAACGAAAATCGTTACACAGATATACTCTTATATTCGAGTATCTAAGCTTTTTTGGTGCTGTTAGCTGGAATCTTTTTGTTTTAAAGTTTTTTGATAGTCTTAGTTAACGTTAAGTTTTTTTGAATTTCCTTGTTTAAACTAAGTGGAGCACTGCTATTTGCATTAGTGTATTCAAGAGGCTTACGTTGTAATTGAAATAAATTCAATTGAAATCTGTAGAATAACTCAAGTAATGACTTAAATGTCAAAGTGTGATTTAATTTCTTTAATATGTTAGGCTAAGAATTGTTCTTATTTCTAGGGTAAAATATTTTTTTTACTAATATAAAGCACGGTACTAAATTCTTCGATGGGATATATAAAAATTGTATATTTTTATATTTATAGATTTATAATTTTAACTGATTGACATAAAAATTCAATCTGAAATAATATTTAAATATATATATGTATATATATGTATAATATAATTAATTATATGTATACATAAATTCAATGATAAATAATAAATTTAACTGGAAATTTGTTAAAATTTGAATCGGAGCTAATATTTAATAACCTTTTAGTTTGTTTTAACCAGTCGATTTATTTGTTTATAAACAAGTATTGTAAATTGTTTAATTATTTATTTAAGCTGTTTTTTTGTTTTTCGTGGCTTTGTTCAAATAAATTTAAGTCAATTTTGTGAATAAAATACATATGGATTTTATATACTAATGAAAATAAATTTTTTTTTAGGTTTTCTAGTTGATAATTTTTAGCACTTAAATTAGTTAATTTTTTTATTGAAAGCAAAAAAATTTTAATTTCACATAATGAACTAGATTTCAATAATGCCTTTATTATAGAGTGGCATTACTTCCAATTATTTTCAAAAAATATAGAATTGAACCTATTTTATTTACACAAGCTATGAATGGTGAAATTAACGCAAATATATATATGTAAATATATATGTATAAAAAACAAAAGTCAAAGTGCCAGCTAACGGCATCATTACATTTTACTATAACTAGCGATGCTATAAGTATCTATATGCTTGCGATGTAAGTATCTAAAATCATATTTATATAATTTAACGATGCTTTACGTAATAGTACTACAATCTATAGTAGAATATACTATTAACAGAGTAGAATAGAGTGTTCTGACTAAACACGATACACAATTTCGAAATATGATTCAAAACTAGGCAGCTTATCAATCACTAAAGAAATATTAACTCAAAAATATAAATGCCTTGATCAGAAGAGGGCGTGCAGAAGAAATTACTTTAAAAAAATGCTAAACTGTAGCCCTCAAAGCAGTAGAAGATATAAACGTCTATGTAACTCAAGGCCATGTAATCAACCGAAATAAAGAAACACTCTCCTGGCGCCCACGGTTTTGGACAAACTTAATTCAAGTTACCTATTTAAAGTAGTAATTTATACTTAAATTTTTGAAGGGCCAAAAAAAAGTTGTGAGAATTTTAAAGTTTATGCACAGAGGAAACTGTATTCCAGCTCAAGTGCCGGTGTCCATCATTAGCTACAAGAAGACACAAAACCTTTGGGGGCGTGTTGGAGCTATCATCTTTCAAAATAAAGGAAATAACTGTATTTATAGACTTGTGAAGTTTGATTCCTTTGACTTGAAGGGGGTAGTCACGCCTTCTTAAAAAGCATCCCCTTTTCAGAACAAAATGTTTGCGACTTCTAGGTTGTTTAAGGTTGTTCTTCTGGATAACCCTATATAATAATATATCTGAATACACGTTTCAAATATTAGATTCAATTAATATAATAGATAATACTCAGAATTTTTTAATTGGGGTATTATTTTTCCAACAGAATCTACATTTTCAATCTAAAACGGGAGCGCCACTTTATTATATTAGATTATCGATATAAAGTGGTGTTAACTTTATTTTTTTTCTGGGTTTAAACAATGTTATATCTTTGTAGCATGTTCTACTAAAAACATTCGGATAAAGCAAATCAAATGACCATTATATCTTTTCTAGCAGTTTACAACTTGTTTCTTTCTTTTATAATAAAAAAACTTAGCAGTGAAAAATTTGATATTTTTTTGGTTGTACAGCCTTTTCATAAAATGTTTATTGGAATATATAAATACGAACTATTAATCCTACAACTGTATCCATCACCACCACTACAATCGTACCTAAACACGTACTATAAATCCTACAACTGTGTATCCAACATCAACCCTACAATTACATTTTCAACAAGTCATTCTGAATACAGTTGTGAGAAAATTAATAGAGTCTATTAACGTTTAATTTCTAACCGACCCTCTTAACAAAGGGTCCATGTTCCAAGCCTTAGTCTAACTATTCTTAAGACTAGTCAATACTAGTCTTAGTGTTAATTATATACAAATAATTATTTTTGTATAATTTACACAATTATACAGAAATACGTATAGTTATGTTTACCGATATGTAAATAGTAGGTCAGTATATAGATACCTGGAAATGTTTTTACCCCGCTTAACTGATAATAAATCTTGTTTTAATTATTTATTCACCGCAAATAGTATAAAGTAGTTATTTTTAATGGTTTAATTGATATAATGTATCATTTACTTGATATTAAATGAATATATTTACTTATCTATCAGTACACTAAAGTATTTATAAATATTGCATTTTGTTTTGAAAAAAAGATTAATGATTATTGTTTTTAATTGCATTGATCGAGTCGATAAAAACAATTGGGAGTTCACATTAAAGTGATTTGTTAGCACAAAGTTATAAATTTATCTTCGGAGAGGTAATTCACCCGACCTATTACAGCGGTTGTCACGAGAACGATTATCGTGAACACACGCTTCACAGCAATAAATCGGAATTGTATGGAACTTGCCTTATCGTGTTTAGTAAATATTTAAATTTAATTTAATTATGCGATTAGTTATGCAATATTAACTAAACTGTTTAAGCGTGAATTAAACTCTATATATTTAAATAGAATTATAAATGTGACAACTGACAAGAACAGGTTCTTAGAAATATCTGTACGAAAGTATCTCTAAAATAGAACTTGAAAGCAGTATTTATTTTTAACTTTTTTTAAATATATTTTTTGCTTTACTTTTATTTCAAATAAAATAAAATCAAAATGAATCAAAAATTCTTTATTAATTGATTCTAAGTAATTCTACGGTAAATCCCCAAAGTTGACTTAAAAATTATTTTTCGCTTTAAATGCGATCGAAGACTTTAAGTACGACTTTGCCGCCAGCAATTTTAAGTACTTTCGTGCGTAAGCGGCTTTAAAAGATTTAATGGATATTAAAAAAAAACTGAATTTAAAAATTTAATTTGTATTCAATTTATGTAATGTTTAGTGTACAAAACATGTAACTTCCGAAAAAAAATTCAACCTTTATATTTGCAATTAATATTTTCAAATTGCTTAGTAGCAACTGATCGACTATCGACTTTTTCGTTTTTTTTACCTGGAACGTGTCTAAGGTTAAAGTAAATATATTTATTATATAAAACATAACTAATTTAATTAGAAACGTGATATTTTTTAACTGCAAGCGGTTGTAGAATTCTACTTTATTTAGTATTCCTATTAGAATTAATTATTTTTTGTTATTTAGCAAAATAACTTAAGTTTTAAAACAAATAACTTACTTTAAAGCGGTCATTGCGAACATACTGAGTACCCTACAATGTACCTTAACAGGGTTAAGATGAGTATTAATAATTATTTCTAATAATTTCAAATAGAATTTATATAATTTTCAATGTTAAACTGTGGTTTCCAGTTTGAAAAACACTGTTGGAAAGCCTTTATCGAACAATTTTTGGTGACTTTACAGCAGGCCTACTGTTCAGATAGGCTCAAGATTTTATATATATTTTTTTCATCTATTTATTAAAGTCTTCTAAGGCACATCCACCAAGCTGTCGAGTCCTCTAAGTGTTTCTAAATCTTTCATTTTATATTGTCATGTGACCATCACAGCTGCAATATCTATATCTTGTTTTTATTTCGTTTGATTCGCGATTTTATTTTACTCGGTCACTATATCTTCGATATTTTCTTGAGACCTTCATTCATGAATGAGTGAAATCTGTATTCGTTTCGCTTTTCCGTTTGAATTAAAAAAGGAATAACTTCGTCTTAAAAAAATATCTATAGAGAGAGCACAATACTTAATACAGTTGTCTAAATATACCGCTTTCCTCGTTTATATGTATTCCCTAATCTTCTGCCATTTCATTGTAACGAACAATGGTATTTCCAAAGTATATATATTTTTGTGCGCTTACTACTTATCAGCAACCGATGCAAAATAGATTTGTAGTATACAATTCCAGAACTTAAACTACATTAACATTTTTATCTTACTTCAATTGATCCCGAAACCAAAGCTTTGGGACAACTGAATAGAATATATATAATTTTTATTAAATGTCATTGAGCCGTATAATTTAGCATGCACATCACACGTATATTTAATGTCCTCTATATGTAGAAAGAACGAACAATATATTCCTTTTCATGAACTAGTGATTATGTTAGATGATAACATACTAATTGATCTAACGTCGGTGTGTAGTTCGTGTGCCATTGACAGCATACTATTATAAAGAATATAACACTTGAAGTCAATATATAGTTAGTTTATAAAATTTATTATCTTACTGAAACCCTCTCAGGCTTTTAGAAATTTTAGAACATTCCTTTCACTATAAATGCACGACTTAAACTATCAAATGCCTCTTTGAAGTTAATGAATGAATAATGTGTATTTGTTAACCCATTAAGGATTCTTTTTTTGTGAGGAGTGGAGCTTTAAAAATAGCAATATGCCCGGTTTGCACAGACTAAACACAATCCCTCTCGTGTGCCAGAACGTTTCTTCCCTGGAACTTTATCGGGAATACGTCAGGGTAACATATTAAGGTTAAGATCATTGAGGTTACTAACAATGCAACCAATACACAAAAACAAACTTGTCTCGATAAACCGATAAACCGAAGAAGATGTGATTTAGTATAGTAGTTAGTTTTTGTTCACACCCCACCCGTAAATTTCACTATTTTAGTTATTCAATATTTATTGATGATATATCTCTTGCCTATTCTGCGATTCCTATTTGAAGTGTTGTACTATTGTAAGTCGTAGTAATAAATCAATTGCCTAACTATAATTATAATCTGTCTCTTGTCGCTTCTGTACTTTATTTATTAAGTATGTGCCGCCATTACAAATCGAAATAATTATTTTAAACGCCCAGACTATAACTATTGTAATGAAAATGATTTCCTTATTACAGACATAAATAGCTACATTTCATTTAGTGTAAAATATTTGCAGGTGTTTGAATAAATAATTCCACATTAAAGTATGGAAATTATTTAATTAATTCGTTCTTTTACGTAGCATTGCTAATTTAGATTTATATACTGAAGTTTTCCTTAACCCAATGTATCTCATAACTTTCATTTTACAACCATTGATAATATATTCGTGCATAAAAAATTTAAATAACATAAAACAAAGCAGTTTATGGATCTAGTATTTTGTTAAGCCAGTGATTTTACTGATTGTTGAAATTTAATTAATGTGGATATCATAAAATAAAACATTAAATGGTTAAAAACCAAGATATTTTTATTTAATTATGCAAAAACTATAATAATGTCATTCAACATACTTAAGTGTCTCGATTACGAACGTTATTTTACAAGATTTACAAGAATAAAACGACCCTCTTACAGATATTAAAATTTTCTTATTAAATTTGATTTTATTGCATTTAATAGAAAGGTTTCAAACAGCAGTGAATTGTAACAACAAAATTTTTATTTATTTTTAATTAATTGAATTTAGGTCTGACCATACAGGTGATTCGAGTATTAGCAATAATTAATAATGGGTATTTGGTAATAATCGAAACAGCTGTATGGTCAGCCAAAAATTCAATTAATTAAAAATAAATAAAAATTTTGTTGTTACAATTCATACTGCTCGAAAAATTTTTTTATGAAATCTGTTATATCTTCCCCCGTACATGAAATTTTATCTGGATACTGGATGTTGTATATTGAAACCTCCCACCCCCAACTCATACTATTATTATCATATTATGAATACATCGACAACTGCAAGTTAGATAGGTCTTGAAGGTAATCAGTGTCGAGAAAGGTATAGATAAAACATTTCTGACACTCACTACCAACAAAACATTTTAGGTAAATATACTCATCCTCTTCGAGACCGAGGCTCCATATAAATATACCACCTATGTACATTTCTCTTTCGTCATTATAAAAACTTTCACTTCGAAGATTAATTCAAATATTCTTATTTTGATTTTTTATTTTAGATGCCAACTATTGGCGCAAAGTTGGATTGACGCAACTTAGAAAAGTGATTGGCATTGCCAAGAAGGCGAAGGAGACTGCTTATACACGGAAAGCTAAAAATGTTATAATTTTCGTGGGCGATGGCATGGGTTTGACAACCATAACAGCGGGTCGCATTTTCAAAGGTCAACACTTAAAACAAGGTTATGGTGAGGAGACAATGTTATCGTTTGATGATTTCCCCTATACTGGATTAGCCAAGGTTTATTCATTAAAATAAATAAAAATTAAATAACAAAAACACATTTTTTACTTTTCAGACTTACAATGTCGATAAACAAGTACCCGATTCAGCCGGTACAGCGACAGCAATGTTTTGTGGTGTTAAAACAGATTACGGTGCCATTGGTATGGACGCTACACGCGATCCCTTAAATAACGCAACTGGCAAACTCACCTCAATTCTGGATTGGGCGCAAGCAGCTGGTAAACGCACTGGTCTAGTCACCAATACACGTATAACACACGCCACTCCAGCATCAGCCTATGCGCGCAGTTATCATCGCGACTGGGAGTGTGATACAAAAGTGCCGCCACCTTCACTTGGCAAATATGTAGACATAGCACGGCAATTAACTGAGAATGCGCCCGGTAATAAGTTGAATGTTATATTGGGAGGTGGTCTGTCACCTATGGGTGCTTCTAATAAAACCGAAACTGGCAGAGTTAAGTTTGAAGGTCCTTCAGAAGATGTGTGTCAGCGCGGCGATAATCGTAATTTAGCACGTGAATGGTTGCAAATGGAAGGCACAAATAGAACGAGATTCTTTGTGCAGACTAGGGAACAATTGGAAAAACTTGATTTAAAAAAAACTGAACATCTATTAGGATTGTTTAGAAATAATCACATCACCTATAAAATTGCAAAAGAAGAAGAAGAACCTACGCTAAAAGAAATGACCGAAGCTGCTCTTAATGTTTTGGAACGAGGACATAAATCCAATGTAATAACAAGCCGAAACTATATAGTTCTAGACTCTATTAATAAATAACATACATTTATTTCAGGGTTACTTGCTAATTGTTGAAGGTGGACGTATCGATCAGGCTCATCATCAGAATTATGCGCGTGCCGCTATGTACGAAGTAGTCGAATTCGACGCAGCAGTTGAGGCAGCATTAAAATTAACCAATGAAGAGGAAACGCTTATAATCGTCACTGCTGATCATTCACATTCTGTTACCTTAAATGGATATCCAAAACGTGGTGCCGACGTTTTGGGTTTTGCAAATAAAGCTAAAGATCCTTTGGTATATGAGACAATTTCATATGCCAATGGTCCAGGTTATTGGGATCATTTGGCAAACGAAACACGCAATGTGAATGAAAGTAACATTTGGATACGTTTAGAAACGTTAACGCAAGCAGAACGTATGTCACCCACTTATAGGCACATGGCAACAATACCAGTTAAGGATGAATCGCATGGTGGTGAAGATGTCGTTGTTTTTGCCAATGGTCCTGGTTCAAGTTTAGTACGCGGAGTTTTCGAACAAAATTACTTGGCTTATATTATGAGTTATGCGGGATGTTTTGGCCCAGCGAAGGACTTTGATCACACTTGTATACATAAGCAAGCATATAGGAGTGCTAGTAGCAGATTACAAGGATTTCAATTTTCAATTTTGCTGTTACTGTCTATCTTTAGTTTATTTCGTTTTTAATTAGTTTAAGTTTTTGTGTTATGATAAGAAATAAAAAAATAGCTCACAAGGTTGTTATTTAAATTTTACTTTAATTTAAAAATTAATAATTTAAGGCTATACTCTTAAGTAAGAAGTATAGGAAGTATAAACTTGATTCAAGTTTATTTTTAATGAGCAACATTTAAACGAATGGAGTTTCTTAGATATGAAATTAATTTTCTGATGCTCAATCGATCGTTCTCACATTATGAAGGATATATATGTATGTATATGCATGAACTACAACTGATTTTATTTTCAGTCCAGCACTTAAATGAAAATGTTGCTGTTGTGGCCCATGTACATCTATAGAGCAGGAAACAAGAACAGTAGAAATCACAAAACATATAATGTGTTCGGATGATTGTAGGTCAGTTAGAGGGAGAAGAATTTAGTGGGATAACGGAGGGCTATGGCGTGGGTTGGTGCCAATTATAACTACCCTGGGTCTAGTTGTTGGAACCTGGACACTTCAATATGGCAGAGTATATATCAATATTGCTTAAATAAGTCTATGGTCAATAAAATTAATTCTTCTCAATAATTCGGAAAATCATATGCAGCTGAGAAAGCTTGTTTGGTTAAGCTACCTTTTGGATAGTGAATCTACGAGTGATTAAAATTGTATCAACATTGTATATAAAAGTTCAATCATTATATCACATCCTAAATGGCATCAAATCCGTGTTTTATATAAAGTATTACAATTATTGTATTATTATTTGAGGATTTGGCACTGCGTCTTGGAAATCTATTGTGCGTGAACTTAATGAACTTAAGAGTATTTCTACAAGTCGAACTATCTACATTACAGTTTAATTGCTTCATCCGAAATGAGTTGCCCACCTAGGTACTTCTTACGTTGTTTCTGCATCAGTGCTACGTGAACGGCTACCATTATATACCACAAGAAGTCTTGTCTGATTGATACATTGGTTATTTACTATACAATGCATTCAATAGAATTATTTAAAATATACTATATTTAATGCAATTATCAATTCTGCCAAACCTTATCATACCAATCACCCAAACTGCATTATACTCAGCAACAACGAACATGTGAACATATAAAATAGGGAGTCTGAAAGAAACAATACATATATAAGGTAAGATCTTTCCTGTTTATTTAATATAAATTTATACCCACAAAAAACTCAAAGCAATTAAAGAATCTTGAGTTTAATTTTATAGCATCATTTTACAATTATCATTTAAATATTGCATTAGTTGGATTTGACTCTAACACTTCATTACATTTTTAAACTATAAGTTACACTTTATGACTGGCAACGATCTTCCAAGCATTTTTTGTTGCATCAAAAAAAAAAACAAAAAAAGTAGAAATTGTACACAATCGTTGACTAATTTCAATTTCAGGCAGCTTTAGCTGTAGCTGTTTCGGTTTTCGCTTCATCCGCGTCTAACTTAAGTACGCGTTGTGCACTAATGCAGTTTTGGAACAAAGCTACTTCCTCAGCACATTTAAGTGTCTCACCAGGATAAGCACGATAGCAGGCAATTACCTGGGCTTTGAGGTCTTGGCATGGTGGCAGTTTCAATGCAGGTGATGGCGTAGCAAAACGTTTACGTACATCCTCAACAGCCGTTGCATATTCCTTCTCCATAATAGAATCTGTCTTTTTTAAAGTATCCTCCAATTGTGACATACGTTTACGCCACATGGCATCATTTTCTTCCAGTTCATGTTGTTTTTGTCGTCTTACATCGACCGCTGACTCTGTCGTACCGCCGCCTAACACATATGTCGGTTGTGAGCTTTGGTAAACAACTGTTGGTTGTGATGGTGCCACCGATTTTGGGGGTGGTGGTGGTGGTGCAGCTTTTACAGGCACTACACGCGGTACCTCCTTGGCTGGTGGCGGTGTTGCTTCTTTCGATTTTGCTTTTTCAGCAGCAATTGCATTTTCTCGTGCTAAAATTATTTAAAGTGAATAAATTATGTAAGCGCATGAGTAATAGTAAAAATTGTAGTAAATATTTTAAATAATTTTAAATAATACTTCGTTTTTAACAAAATATATATTAATTTGTTATAGTGGATTCACTGCATGGTTGCATAATCATTTAAACAATTTTATAATTTTCTCAAATATATTTTTTATTATAAAACAATTATTTTAGAGTATAACATTAGATATTAATTTACCTTGTTGTTTAAGGCCACTCTTAAGCCTTTGCACAACTTCGTCTGAGATGTCAATAACACTGCTTGGATTTGGATTGTCCAACTGCACGGAACGTGTTTCACTTGACTGTGCTGAACCCATTCCTACAAATGTCTGACTCTGTATATAGGTGCTATTTTATTCAAAATAAAATTATTAAGATTTCTTTATTCCCTTCAATGTATTTAATAATGTTAACATAATAATGTGATTAGAATAAATGCATTCAAACGTTTATTATATTAAAACTACCTGCGAAAAATCAAAAACCGATTCAACACAGCTGACAGCTGTCATTTATTGTATTTGCCAATCTGACGTGCGAGTTCGAAAAAAGTGTTGAAAAACGTTACAATTAAAGATTAAATTTCTTTTAAAATATTAAGTATTAACTAATTTCTCTTAAAATATTAAGTATTTTAACACTTAGGTCGTGTGCGAGTTAGGCTAAGTTGATGCTAAACCAAAAGGGAGATTTTTTAGGATGTTTTGCACTGCACACATTTAGCCATTTATCAACACGTATCGACACATCACTACATTATCGTCACAACTTAGAATTTCCCTCATTTAGAACGCAACTTAGCCTAACTCGCACACGACCTTAATTTCAACAATATAGTAATATCTTTGTTTTGATAGTAAATTCCTTCTAAATTAATATAATACTGAAAATAACAGACAATCGTTAATGGCTATTTAAGAGTAATATTTACAAGTATATATAGTGCATTAAATCAATTAATAAAAGAGGTGCTTTAATAATAAAATTAGTTTTGTATTTACTTTTATACGCGAAGGTACTTAATGTAACACTTGTGGAGACTCAATGACATAAGATTGGAATTTTCTCTACAAATGCTTTTAGTATATATAGTTCTTAGTTTGCTGTATTATTATTCATGATATTTTTCATATATGATGAATTTTTTGTATAAAGTATAATACTGTCATTCGCACAAAAAATTTGAATTGAAAATCTAAGTAGAAAAACAAATTAATATTATCATCAGTATTTTTAAGAAATGTTTTTCAGTTGAAGTTTTATATGGATTTATTATATGTATTGACTGTTATTACTAGCTTTAATACTATAAAGTTCATTCTATAAATTACTCAATTCATATAGCTTATATGCAGTGGAACGCCCTGGGCGTAAAAGATTGTTTCTCAAGGATAGCACTATTATTAGAAAATTAGTAAATCTTTTTGTGAACTGTGATATTTTACATATAGTGTTAAATTAAATTTTTGTGCAGTATTAAATAATAATAAATATTTAAAATAATTTAATATAAATTTATTTATAAAAAAAAAATAATAAAACTAATACATGTCATTATTATTAATATTACCAAAAAAAGATAGTGATGAATATTAACGAATAAAGTGTAGAAGGAATATACACATATACAACAAATGATACTAATTTTAATTCTATTTGAATAAACTCTTAAAATTTATATTAAGAAATATCCTAATTTAATAATAATAATATCATAAAATATTTTTATATAAATTTATTTATGAAAAAAATGTATAATAAAACTAATACATGTCATTATTATGAATATTACCCAAACAAAAAAGCGATGAATATTAACAAAAAAAGTGTAGAAGGAATATAGATATATACAACAAATGATACTAAAATTAATTTTATTTAAATAAACTCCTAAAATTTATATTAAGAACTATCCTAAACCATTTAAAGATATAAAAGAAGTCAATTTTATTTTGTATGTGACATTCGAAAATTATTTTTTATTCATTTATTTTTTTTTTTAATGAAATTTCACGACAATTCTTATTTTATAATTACTTTATTCCATATTTTATATTTGTTTTCTTCGTTTTTCATAATTATATTAGTGTTTTTATTTTAAATATTGCATGACATTTTTTTTAAACTATATTTACGCAAAAACTTTTATTATAGATCACTTAGACTCCTATTCATTTATATATTTTCATTTTATGTAATGTTTGTTTTTAGTTATTTTAAATAATATTTTATCAATTTATTACACATGCTTCAAAATTCGTGTCTGTTCTACTAATATACATAAATACTAGTCTGAAATTAACAGAAATAATTTTGGTAGAAAGCCGAAAAACCAATTAAAGTACAACTTTTGTGTACCCAGCAGGAAATTAGTTAACTAGTTCTCATGCACCTTGAACTGTCAACTAATAAATGTTTGTTTGTTTTTATAATTAGTTCACATTTATTATAATGTATATGCTATTTTGATTATTTTTTAAATACTTAATAATAATGTTATTTATTTGATGAGTGTTAAATGTATATTTATTTGCAATTTAATATTAGTTATTTAATTTAGTTTTTTTTTTTAATAATATATATGTATATATTATTCAAATGTTCGCTGTTTTTAAAATTTGGTTTTTGTTTTCAATTTGTATTTGTTTTTTATTTTTTTTTGGTTGTTTTGTTGCTTTGCTAAATAAATTACTTTTATAACTTTTATCCTATATAAAATTGATTTTATATACTTTATAAATTAATTAAATACAATATATATAATTTCAATGTTTGTAGTTAATATCACTGGTGGTTTTCAAACATTTTATTTTGGTTCTAATTTGAAATAAATTATGTATTTTTTTCTTTTATAATACTTAATTCGTATTTGTATTAGATTAAATTTAATTAATATATATTAATTTTTTAATATTACATTTGATAATATTTATATGTATATATTAATATATAAAAATGTATTTTGTTTACTTTTCTTAAATTGGACAATTTTGATTTAGTTTAATACTTATTTTTAATTCTATGCACTATTTGAGTGGGATTATTATTTGGTATTTACTATATATACGGGCGTATAGTATATATAGTAAAGTTCTATATACACAATTTGAATTTGTTTTTGCAATATTTTATAAATATATATAGTTATAAATTAACGTAAAAGTTACCTATTTACAAATGTTAAAATAATGAATCCGTGGGAATCCGTAAATAATTAATTTTGGAACAAAAATTTTATAAAATTAAAATTAATTTAGCATTAAAAACATTCATTTGTATATATGTTATATAAAGATCAGAAAAAAATATGATAAACTATAGAGAAAAGTGTTGAGATACTATGTATAGTCTCTGTTAATAGTAAAGTAGTGATTTATACCTCTGGAAGTCATTGTATGGACTGGAAAATATCTCCTTTATTAAGCTGTTAGAGTTACTTAAATATCCTAAGATCTGAATCTGCTTTACCAAACTCATGCTGCTCATAAGTCTTGATACATTAGCAAGTTAAACACGCGGTATTTGGAACCTTCGAAACTTTAGAAAAGAGGTCTTCAAGTGAGGTGCTATCAAAATAAATACCTTCGTAAATTCTTAAAACAAATTATCTTCCGTACATAGTCTTTTACATTATGTGGTAATGAAATTTCTATCTTAAAGCAGTACAGAAAAATCTATAGTTCGCTATAGTTCAAATGCGATAGGTCGGATATGACGAATCCTAAACTAACAGACTGGGGTGCTTACTTACGGGTCGCCTGCACAAATTCATATTCGAAATCGGTCAGTTGTGGTGAGCCGGTAGCTAGTTATAGCAATAAATTGGATAATATTTCACTCATTAAAATCTTACACAATTCTTGACTATAATCCTGAAAGTCTTCTGCCATAGAAAAATTTTTCTTTATATAGTTTTAAGGAACGAGAATTGATAACTTCACAAAATAAATGGTTTATATTAAAATTTAAATAATTGCTCTAACAAAATTATATTGAAATAAACATTTAAAAAGTAAGTAAAAGTAAAATAAAACACAATTAAATTAAAAGAAATATCACTTTACTTGTAATTATGTTACTAAATTAATAATATTTATATTTACTCATTTTTTTATAAGATTTATATTTTAATTAGCTAATAAATTAAATATACCTTATATTGTAAATTTAATATTTAAGCCTTTTTAATCATCTTTTAATATTACTTAGAATAAATATCATCTTAACTATTATTTTTACTACTACGATTTTATTTATAATAAAATTAGTTAATTATATGATTTTTGTAGGTTTTAGTTTATAAGCCTTTACAAAATGTCAATATTTATTTTATTTGAAACAAAATAAAACAATAATATCGATAAATATTTTCAAGTAGTTAGAAAATGCAGTATTTTAGTCCTTGATAGAAAAATAATTGAACAAATTAATAAATATTTATATTATGAAGTTTAATAAAATAATAAAAATATTAGGAAAATTAATTAAATTAAAGACACAACGAGATTAAGAATTGTTTAGTACTCCTTTAAAATTTAATATAAAATATAATAAAAAGGTTAAAATAGGAACAATAACAAAAAATATTAATATATTAAAAAATTAAAAACTATATAAAACTACAAAAAACATAAGAAAAACAGAACATGAAATTTGTAAAAAAATAATAGGATATAAACAAAAAAAAAATGTAAGTAAAAAATTAAAAAAAATATATAGAAGTTAATATAAATTAAAAGAATAAATAAAAGTAAAACTTAAGAAATAAGAAAAAAATAAAAAAGAAAAAAATGTAATATAAAAAAATAAGAAATATAAACGCAATAAGAATAGGACAATAAAATAAAAAAATACAAATAAAATAAAAGAAAAAAAATCAAAATAATGAATATGAAATGTTAAAAATAAAAATTATAAATAAATAATTTAATAAATATAATATAATATTTAAAAAACAAAAGCTTTAATTACAAATATATATTTTAAAAAATAATATAAAAATTTATAATGTACAATAGTAAACATATAAATGAATTTAAAATACATTTAAACAAGTTGATTTTAAAAGAACTAATAACGTAATTCAATACATAAATTATGTTAATATAAATAAATTGAAAGTATATTTTTTAAATAAGCAAAAAAATTTTTAATAGCTTATTAAACAATATAAAACCTTAATAAATTTTGTAAATATATATTTACAATTTCAATAAAAAATAATTGTAAAGAAAAAATGTAACATTAAAATATTATTAGTATAATTTTAATTACTCTATTGTTTAATTTCACGTCACAAAACGAACATATTTAATTTTCTGTTTTAATTTAAGATCAAAGTAATTTAAATTACATAAACAATAATTAAATATAAACAAGTCGTTTACTTAAAAGAACATTTAAAAGTTTTTAGTTATTAGCAATAATCAAATAAAATTGAAATGAAAACAAAACTAGAAAATTGTAAATATAACATAATTAAGATATTTTAGTAGGTGAGTATAAAAATTTAATTAAAAATAACTGCATCTTTATTTAAAACAAATAGTGAAATTATTTATTTATTAAAACTATATTCAAAAAAATTAACTAATTTAAATATTAATTTTCATTTTAAAGCTTACTAAAGCATCTATTTTATAAAAATCATATATGTTTTAAAAATTAAAAATGTAATTTATATACATACATATATATAAATATATATATACGCATATAAATTATTAGTAAAATAATGCAAAGCATTTTAAAGTTAGTGAGGACATTAGTTAATTTGTAAATAAAAATAAAAAAATTAAAAAAATGTTTTTATATTTTTAATTTTAAAATATATTTTAGTTTAGTATTTACTGAATTCACATATTACATAAATAAGCTTTTTAATATTAAATATTATTTTTTTTATATTATTTATTTATTTTTCATAGAAAATTAAATTAATTTTTACTAATTAGCAAATTTACAATTTTTTTTATTAAATTAGATTTTTATAATTTTATTTTAATTTAAAATTTTTCAAAACGTTCTATACGAGACGACACTGAGTTGTCCTTAATAGTTATTTCTAACTTTGCAATTTGTTTCTTTTTTTTTTTATTTTTCTGTTTAGTTTTGTTCAGTTAAATTTTTTACAACTATATTTTAAATTAATTTTAATTTAAATATATTATTTGAAATATCTACTTATTTAACTAATACTACACATACGTTTTTTATTTTATTTTTTTTTTAATTGAAAAATTTATACATTTACTTTCTTGTTTTTTATTGTTATTATAAAATTGTTAATAAGCAGTTTATAATGAAAAAAAAAAAAAAATAAAAAACACTAACTGATAAAATTCTATAACCGTTTTAAAATAATAGTTTAAATTGCATAAAGCGTATAGAAAGAAATATTATGCTTTAGAACAAACTATGTATCGTATGTAAAATCCATAAAGAACTGTTTAACATTCTTTATATACAATTACAATTTTTGTTGGATTTTAGAATTTTACTTTTTATATATATTACAAGAATTATTTATATGACAAAAATTATTAAATAAGTTTTATAAAATTCAAAATGAATATAATTTCTACTATACCAAGAACTTCTATATATTAACTGCTGGTCAAAGAGTATTTATTATCTTTAGATAATATAAAGCAATAATTTAAAATTTTTATATATAATTTTCAGTTTAATACATCACACATTTTAAAAAATTTATTCATTAAAATCCTTGCTGTATTATTTAAAAAAAAAAATATTGCAACTATTTGTCAATTTTTGAGGCATTAATTAAATTAAATTAAGCATAAACTTTTTAATTAAAGCATTAATTTTGTTTAAAATAAATTTTTTTTAAATTAAAAATGTGTAGAGTTTACAGTTTTATCCTCATTCATATCATTAATATATATTTTTTTCTTACTTCAATAAGCTTATTTTTCATTTTCATTTTCTTGTTTATAAAACACTATTTTATTTATATGCATTTAGGTATAAAATTTGCATATTTACTACATTACAAAGTTTCATAAGGAAATTGTTTTTAAATGCATAAATTAATTTAATTAAAATTTTACGCACATATATGCAATTCTTATACTATTTTGTTGTTTTACATTTTTATAATTCTTATCGCTTAAATTTACTTCATAGTTCTTAATATTTAATATTTTTTTTTATGTATTATTTTGTTTAGCGTTATACTTTTACAATATTAACTCTTCATTGACATGTCATAAATGTCGTTAATTCTTTTAATTCTTAAAACAAAATAAAATTAAACTATTAACATATTTTAAAAGAAGCAAGAAATAAATAAGTGTAAATGACAAAATAAATTTAACGTAAATATTTAAAATGATTAAATTTAGTTTTTTATTTAAAACAAAAAAAAAAAGCTGTCTTAGTTTGTTACAACATCGCCACAAACTACACTTAAATTGGTAAAGACAATATTTATATTATTATTATTCTTCTTGCATTTTATAAACAGCATGTTTTATAAAATTTTTTTTATAAACTATTACTAAATATAATCGGAACCCTGAACGTACTTATCAATTAAATTGTTGGCTATTCTGGTGTACCTTGGGGCCGTACATAGTTTTTTACATTTGCATTTACACTTAATAGGTTATAATTAATTACAATTAATATAATAATAATAAACATATAGAAGTTTTTACTTAATCTATACATACATACATACATACAATTATGTAAATGGAGCGCATGCATGTACCGCAATTTAGTTAAATAAATATTTTATATATATGTATATATATATATCATATATCAGTATTCAGTTATAATTCTTGATATCCAAAAGAGAGTAAAAGTATTTGGAACCAATATTTGTGGCATACAGTGTTTCTAACTATATTCTATATATGTTTAATTATTTATTCATACCTAATTTATTTATTTAAGTTTTCTAATACAGTGGACTTTGTTTAACAGAAAAATGTCTATGGACTATGCGCGAGAATACAATATTCATATACAGATTATGAAAATTATAACAAATTATAACAAATTAAATTAATTAAATGAGTAGCATAATAAAATGATTGCATATGCATAAAATGTATAAGAGAATCGAGAAAATATATAAAAAAAAAAATAAATATTTTTTACAATAATACTTTATATCTCTATTCATACATTATTCACGTATTATTTTATTAATTGTCACAATTTTTTGTTAAACAATTTACACTGCATTAATGATTCATTTATTTATTTATTTACTTTTATTTTTATTTTTAAATTAATATTAATTAATTAATGACAAAGAGATGATAACGCTACGCACGTTAATGTGTTTTTTTTATGTATTTATTGCTAACATACAAAATAACATTAACGTTACGATATATGTAAATGAAATGAGAATATAAAATTTATAAATCTAGCAATTTAAAAACTACATGAAGACGACGACCGACTTGCTAATTTTAAATATAGAAACTATTGTATTCGTAAACAAAAATTACACCACAAAATATTATTTTGCATTTCGCACGTCATTCATAACGCCGCCACCAGGTCCACCGGGACGCATACGCACCGAAGGACGTCTTTCTGGTGTGTCATAAGGTGGGCGCGATGAATTTGTTGCAGCCATTGAATCGTCCATTGTCATACCGCCATTTCCACCAACCACCATCTGCGAGCTACTGCCAACAATTGCTGCATTGGAGTTTACCATCGATTGACCAGCACCGGAGCCCATCATTTGGACGCCACCCACTGCTGCCACACCACCGGTCAATTGTTTCGAACTATGTTGATGTTGTTGGGCAGCAGTTGCTTCTTGTTGTTGGCCATCCCCATCTTGTTGTTGTTGTATTGCTTGAGGATTGCGTGGTCCACCGAATTTAAGTAAATTCCAGTCAAATACATAATCATATGTGAACCCAAGGCGATGAAATAGATTGCGGAATAATTTACGCAAATAACAATAATCAGGACGTTGTTCAAAATGCATTTGTCGGCAGAAATTCAAATAATTCACAAATTCACTTGGAAAACCTTTACACAATGACAGTATCGTTGTGGATAGCTTCTTTTCTGATATACGCTCATATTTTTGACGTTTATTGGCTGCTTTTAGACCCTGCCAAGGTAGAGCGCCTAAATTAAAATACATCAGCACATAACCAAGCGATTCCAGATCGTCACGTCGAGATTGCTCGATACCCAAATGTGTATTTATAGATGCATAGCGTGCTGTGCCGGTGAGATTTTTATTTTCCCGATATGGTATGTGCTTTAATGAACGCGCATCACGAAACTTTTTCGCTAAACCGAAATCAATGATGTACACGAGATTGCCCTTCTTGCCCAAGCCCATAAGAAAGTTATCAGGTTTTATGTCACGATGTATAAAATCACGTGAGTGTATATAGTCAATACGTGATATCATCTGATCAGCTAGCAGTAGCACAGTTTTTAATGAAAAGTGGCGTGAGCAAAAGTTGAACAAATCTTCCAAAGAAGGACCAAGCAATTCCATAACCATTACATTGTAATCACCTTCAGAGCCACACCAGATTATACGTGGTATACCAATGCCACCTTGCATTGTTTTGTAGAATTTGGACTCGATATGCAATTGTGGATGCTTGGTACGTATGCATTCTAATTTAATAGCAACTTCTTCACCGGTATTAATGGTTGTACCCAAGTATATATCACCAAACGAACCTGACCCAATTTTACGGCCCAATCGATATTTGTTACCTACACGCAATTCCATTTTTCGTGTGTATGTCGTCGTTTCTTTCTTCCTTTTTTCCTTTCTTCTTAATTTGCCAGTAAATTTGGTTTATCTAATAAATAATGTATCAAACGTTACGATTTAAAAACCAACAACTCTTTCGTATATTTTAAAAACTCAAACCTTCAAATTTTTTAACAACGATTTGTTGTTTGTTGACTTTTTCTATTCCAGTTGATTTCAATGCGTATATGATTTAATCTGTAAAGAAAAAAATACAAGTTATTAATGCTTCTTCAAATATATATGCACTATATATAATTTTTTACATAGCAAAGTTGTTTATATTACAGTGACTCAGTTTTAAGCTCCACCAAGCGGGCTTTATCATGACGCGATCCTAATGATCGTTACGAAAAATATATTCTATATACCCTCTTCCGAGAATACAACAAGGTCAATTAACAAACTAACACACATTCCGCTGAATTGCTGGCTTAACCAACTCACCATATTTTCAAGATTAAAATCTTGAGGTCCTCCTCCTATGCACCTAAACATAAAACTATATACGAGTATGGACGACAATGGTTCTAAAGTCGGGAAGATTTAACCTTTGTAAATTAGAGGTACTGGGATACTGATCTATAGCCAAATAATTAGACCAGCACTACTTTATGTGTGTGTCGCTTATAGCAAAGCTGCAGACTCTACTATCCAGAAGCTACAAGTTGCTTGTCAGGCATGCTAAGAGACCTTACAATAGATCCGTCAACAAAAAATACATAAGGAATAGAGCACTGAAACTATATGCGAACACCGACAGGCTGCCCTTCTTAGCGCTATCTAATCTGAGAGTAGTCACTAACCGCACGGGGCGATACGCAGATCTTAGATTAGTCATTGAATAATCACGAAGCTCATGAGGAATACTCAAATTAGTCAATGAGATAGATGGGACTCTGCGGAAACCCCCCAGCTAGCAGAGAGTAAAAGTGTCCAGAGGCAGTAACTCAAAAAAGGCTCAACAACAACTGGAAAAAAAAATAATGTTTAAATATATAGGCTTATTATTTATAACTATCAAATTTCTACTGTATGATATAATATGATATAATATAATATAATATCATTTAATGAATTTGGTATATCCTTGAGGAAACAAAATTTAATTTTATGCTAAACTAACATGGTAAGGACGTCACCTTGGTGCAAAATTTTTTTTCAAAATATTTAAATCGATAAAATTGATTTTTAGCATGAGTAAGGATAAAAATCATTCTGCGTTGTAAATATAAATGTAATTATTTATGAAATCAATAATCAATTCGATGGCATAGTAACAACCACATACACGTATACTAGAAAATGACTGAGAACAAGGCAAATTCAAAGAAATAGAAGTCCAAGAAGCTACATCCTACACGACACACGCGCTGATTCGGCTGCTAATAACACAAATTATATTACAGAAAGTAAAAAGAACAATTAAAATAATAATAAAAACAAAAGAATAAAAAAATATTTAATATTAAATTCCATTGCCAGGGCGGCCAGCTTTCTACAACCTGAAATGAACCTCCGAGAGGGAAGCATTTCAATTGACAGACACGATAACAAATCCACAAATCTACAAATTTCAAGATGTAAATGAATAGCAATCCGTCGTTCGTCCCTTCTACTGTATATATGAAAACAACTGAATTTAATTGATTATTTTAATTTTAATATAAACGTCTTGTAAAAATAAACAAGACCCAAATTTTGTAAACACTGAAAAATAATTTGCAAAATTACCAAATTTAAATTCATAAATTATGTAGTAATGCCCAAAAACCAGAAGTGAAGAGTCAAGATAATAATGAATATTTAAAATATAGGTCAGATATGCAAAATTGTATGTTAAAGATAGAAAAACTTGTAAGCAATTTTAAAATAGAAATGATTTCTGTAGTCGCTGTGGTGTAACCATTTACGTTTTAAACTTAAATATCATACAAAAGTAATTTCATTGTTGAGGAAGAAATTAATTTCGATGGTAATTATATTTCAATGTTAAGAGGTTGCTTGCTCCCCTTCTATTGTAAACTCAGAAATAAAATGTTATATAGAGCAGAATAATTACTCCCATCATGTAGATATTATTATATACTTTTACATTTGGGACCTAGTTTAGAGTTCTTTTGAACCATGTTTGTGAAGATTATTAAAGTTTGAAAACTATGACCAGAAGTTTTGGGTATCGCGTTTCCACAGCTCTTGAATACACTACTACTTCACATAGATAGCTTAATTCATTACTGTTGAACTTGCTTAGATTAGAATTAGAATACAAATATAAATATAATTTGGATTTTACTATGATTAGAGTACTTGTATAAATATGTTTTATTGCTATAGTCTATTTTATTAAGTAGGGCCACTAAACAGAAAATGTTAATTAGCCGAAATTAGTTTTACAATGTATTTTCCTGTTAGATCATAGTCCTCCCCGCAATGTTGCTCTTCCTTATGACTCGTTCAAGTGCTCACAGTGTCTTGCCAATGTCGCCCACATATTTATGACAAGTCCTCTTTAACCAGTTCTCGCATCATCAAACCTCCCATCAAAGGGATCAGGATAACTCCACTACCCTTATAAGTTCTCCTTGTAATATGCAGTTTCTATGAACCAATTTCTTTTGCATTTTTACACAAAACCATTAGACGTCCAACAATTTTACAGATCCTCAGCTCACACATTTTGTAAGTTAGTTTGAATATGAACCTATGGTGTTACGTTGACATATTATTTGTGCTCGCGAGCTTTAGTGAACAAGTCTGCCACTCCAATATAACCTCACCTTGAATATAAACAAATCAATATGCCCCATACATATATATAAATTTCCTTTTTCTTCACATTTAAAGTTCGGGACGCTGAACTCCACCCCTAAAACAGTAAATCGGAACCGCGTATATGATGAGCAGTAACAAAGCAGATGTGAGGCACTTTTATCGTCATTTCCCTAACTGTGTCACGAATGATTAAATGGGAAATACAATCTACTTCCCTAAGCGACTATATCCTGCCAACAAGCCGACCATAAGACTGATATCTTTACGCGTCCAATTTCCATACAGATGCTTACATATTGTTGAGTCATCACATCTTTTAATAAATCATTTAACATAGAAAGAATTTATGATTTTAACGATATGTCTAAATTATTTAGGTATTCTGAGTGATTACCTGAAGTACCTTGTTTGAAAAGCTCGTCTGCCTTGCGATTGTTGAAAACATTCCTATAACCGGGAACCCAGAGTAGAGAAATGTTATACTACGTCGACATCTCGTTTACAGATTCATTGTATGCACTTTACAACAGCTTGAGTGTCTGATAATATGTATATTTATCTAATACAATAGCTTTCCAGCCAAGCTATAGCTTCTCATTTATAGATTTGTAGCAATTAAAAGCCAGCCGTCGTGAAAGTAAATTGGACTGAACTCAAGGATTTTACAACACGTTGAGTGTGTGATAATATTCATATACATCACATATTCTCTTTTTATGTGAGATACACCTATTTTTTACATCTACACCACTATCTATTTTAAAGTCATAATTAAAATTGATTAGACCCTCCTCTAATGAAAGACCTCTCGACAGCAATGTGCCTCTAGATGGACACTCCATCATCTATCTTCCTAATTTACAATACTTATTTTTAATTAATGTAATTATGTACGTCTGTGTTCAGATTTTGTAATAAATAGAAAAACTGACATGATACCGACTTTTCGGCTAAATTGTTCTGGTATGTCTACTGGTACGTTTGTAACTTGTAATCAATGAAAAAATTGCATATACTAATTAGCATTAGTTGGTGTTTGTACTTTATTATTGTGAAATCAATGCAAAAAAAAGCTTAAAACTTAAAACCTCGATATTCTGAGAAGTAAACTGTATTAGTGATGTTCCCCCTGCGGTAAAGGGGTTAGAATATTCCCGTGGTAGGCACAGTCTGTCTTATGAGGCGAATAAATCCCGATATCACGCCGACACTTGTGTAAGAAGTGTGTATGGTAGCGATATCTGACCAGAGATGGCAGTATCTGGTACTACGGCCGTGCTGACCAGTTGAGGTTGGACTCGTAGTGCCTGTGGTTAATACCTAAACTTACGCGAGAGGAGTTTGGGTGTTCATTTATTCGTGGAGTTCATTTTATGCGTGGAGTTGCGTATGCACCACCGAGTGTTACAACTTACATTGTAGCAGAGGTTTAGATAGGCCTCACATCAAACCAAGGTGGAAGTTATGTCTTACACACTTTGCTTCATTGGTAACCAGTGGAATTACTAAGGAGATTCCAATGGAGCATTCATCGGTTCAATATACTGATGCGTTTGTGAAGAAGACGTTAATAATTCTGGTCTTCTGTATTAGTGATGAAGTGCTACAGAGCACTGTAGTTAATAGTTGAGTTTATTGTCCATTGTCACATCGGTAGACCAGAATGATCAGTATCAATCGTGTTTTGAGAGATAAGGTAAAATTTATCAGAAATTAATATACATATGTACATGTACAATATAATCACTTTCAACTATATAATTTAACGATTATCATATCGTCTTCTACAGCTATTTACATATTTATTTAACAAATTTCATTTAACATATTTATGTTCTACATTTTAATGATTTTTAATTTACAGTTCAAAATATTTAAATATATAAATTGAAGTGTTGAAATATTTTAGATAAACTGAATATTTTGTTTTTGTTGTCATTTATTACACGAGAATGAGACATGCCAAGTAAGCGATGAGCTGTCAGGGAAGAACGAAACGAATGCGAATGCAACACGGATACGATTTACATAAGAAAACCGCAAGTCAAAGAAGTTTTGACAGAGCAACGCAAGATGCCAGAAATAAACAATGACGAACGAAGTGCGTTCAAGGGAAAAATAAAATATACACAACCAGACACAGATGATAAAAGATAAAAACGAAAACAAAAAAAATAAATAAAAACAAAAACATAAGAGAAGAAAAAAAAGTTAAAATAAAAAACACTGCATCTTTGACAAACTGCAGAGAATTTGCAAGAAGATACAAAGTGTGCGAAGACCAGAAAGTAACAAATAAAATAATTAGACAAAAATTTGACAAAGTATGAAAACGACAACAACAACAAAAAAATAAAGAAAAATAAGCACACCAAACAGCAAAGCAGCAAAGCAGGAAGGGAAAAATGCTAAATGGGCACTTT